GAAGCAGCAGAAGCAGCAGAAGCAGCAGAAGCAGCAGAAGCAGCAGAAGCAGCAGAAGCAGCAGAAGCAGAAGCAGCAGAAGCAGCAGAAGCAGCAGAAGCAGCAGAAGCAGCAGAAGCAGCAGAAGCAGCAGAAGCAGCAGAAGCAGCAGAAGCAGCAGAAGCAGCAGAAGCAGCAGAAGCAGCAGAAGCAGCAGAAGCAGCAGAAGCAGCAGAAGCAGCAGAAGCAGCAGAAGCAGCAGAAGCAGCAGAAGCAGCAGAAGCAGCAGAAGCAGCAGAAGCAGCAGAAGCAGCAGAAGCAGCAGAAGCAGCAGAAGCAGCAGAAGCAGCAGAAGCAGCAGAAGCAGCAGAAGCAGCAGAAGCAGCAGAAGCAGCAGAAGCAGCAGAAGCAGCAGAAGCAGCAGAAGCAGCAGAAGCAGCAGAAGCAGCAGAAGCAGCAGAAGCAGCAGAAGCAGCAGAAGCAGCAGAAGCAGCAGAAGCAGCAGAAGCAGCAGAAGCAGCAGAAGCAGCAGAAGCAGCAGAAGCAGCAGAAGCAGCAGAAGCAGCAGAAGCAGCAGAAGCAGCAGAAGCAGCAGAAGCAGCAGAAGCAGCAGAAGCAGCAGAAGCAGCAGAAGCAGCAGAAGCAGCAGAAGCAGCAGAAGCAGCAGAAGCAGCAGAAGCAGCAGAAGCAGCAGAAGCAGCAGAAGCAGCAGAAGCAGCAGAAGCAGCAGAAGCAGCAGAAGCAGCAGAAGCAGCAGAAGCAGCAGACAGAAGCAGCAGAAGCAGCAGAAGCAGCAGAAGCAGCAGAAGCAGCAGAAGCAGCAGAAGCAGCAGAAGCAGCAGAAGCAGCAGAAGCAGCAGAAGCAGCAGAAGCAGCAGAAGCAGCAGAAGCAGCAGAAGCAGCAGAAGAAGCAGAAGCAGCAGAAGCAGCAGAAGCAGCAGAAGCAGCAGAAGCAGCAGAAGCAGCAGAAGCAGCAGAAGCAGCAGAAGCAGCAGAAGCAGCAGAAGCAGCAGAAGCAGCAGAAGCAGCAGAAGCAGCAGAAGCAGCAGAAGCAGCAGAAGCAGCAGAAGCAGCAGAAGCAGCAGAAGCAGCAGAAGGCAGAAGCAGCAGAAGCAGCAGAAGCAGCAGAAGCAGCAGAAGCAGCAGAAGCAGCAGAAGCAGCAGAAGCAGCAGAAGCAGCAGAAGCAGCAGAAGCAGCAGAAGCAGCAGAAGCAGCAGAAGCAGCAGAAGCAGCAGAAGCAGCAGAAGCAGCAGAAGCAGCAGAAGCAGCAGAAAGCAGCAGAAGCAGCAGAAGCAGCAGAAGCAGCAGAAGCACAAGCAGAAGCAGCAGAAGCAGCAGAAGCCGCAGAAGCAGCAGGAAGCAGCAGAAGCAGCAGAAGCAGCAGAAGCAGCAGGAAGCAGCAGAAGCAGCAGAAGCAGCAGAGCAGCAGAAGCAGCAGAAGCAGCAGAAGCAGCAGAAGCAGCAGAAGCAGCAGAAGCAGCAGAAGCAGCAGAAGCAGCAGAAGCAGCAGAAGCAGCAGAAGCAGCAGAAGCAGCAGAAAGCAGCAGAAGCAGCAGAAGCAGCAGAAGCAGCAGAAGGCAGCAGAAGCAGCAGAAGCAGCAGAAGCAGCAGAAGCAGCAGAAGCAGCAGAAGCAGCAGAAAGCAGCAGAAGCAGCAGAAGCAGCAGAAGCAGCAGAAGCAGCAGAGCAGCAGAAGCAGAAGAAGCAGCAGAAGCAGCAGAAGCAGCAGAAGCAGCAGAAGCAGCAGCAAGCAGCAGAAGCAGCAGAAGCAAGCAGAAGCAGCAGAAGCAGCAGAAGCAGCAGAAGCAGCAGAAGCAGCAGAAGCAGCAGAAGCAGCAGAAGCAGCAAGCAGCAGAAGCAGCAGAAGCAGCAGAAGCAGCAGAAGCAGCAGAAGCAGCAGAAGCAGCAGAAGCAGCAGAAGCAGCAGAAGCAGCAGAAGCAGCAGAAGCAGAAGCAAGCAGAAGCAGCAGAAGCAGCAGAAGCAGCAGAAGCAGCAGAAGCAGCAGAAGCAGCAGAAGCAGGCAGAAGCAGCAGAAGCAGCAGAAGCAGCAGAAGCAGCAGAAGCAGCAGAAGCAGCAGAAGCAGCAGAAGCAGCAGAAGCAGCAGAAGCAGCAGAAGCAGCAGAAGCAGCAGAAGCAGCAGAAGCCGCAGAAGCAGCAGAAGCAGCAGAAGCAGAAGCAGCGAAGCAGCAGAAGCAGCAGAAGCAGCAGAAGCAGCAGAAGCAGCAGAAGCAGCAGAAGCAGCAGAAGCAGCAGAAGCAGCAGAAGCAGCAGAAGCAGCAGAAGCAGCAGAAGCAGCAGAAGCAGCAGAAGCAGCAGAAGCAGCAGAAGCAGCAGAAGCAGCAGAAGCAGCAGAAGCAGCAGAAGCAGCAGAAGCAGCAGAAGCAGCAGAAGCAGCAGAGCAGCAGAAGCAGCAGAAGCAGCAGAAGCAGCAGAAGCAGCAGAAGCAGCAGAAGCAGCAGAAGCAGCAGAAGCAGCAGAGCAGCAGAAGCAGCAGAAGCAGCAGAAGCAGCAGAAGCAGCAGAAGCAGCAGAAGCAGCAGAAGCAGCAGAAGCAGCAGAAGCAGCAGAAGCAGCAGAAGCAGCAGAAGCAGCAGAAGCAGCAGAAGCAGCAGAAGCAGCAGAAGCAGCAGAAGCAGCAGAAGCAGCAGAAGCAGCAGAAGCAGCAGAAGCAGCAGAAGCAGCAGAAGCAGCAGAAGCAGCAGAAGCAGCAGAAGCAGCAGAAGCAGCAGAAGCAGCAGAGCAGCAGAAGCAGCAGAAGCAGCAGAAGCAGCAGAAGCAAGCAGCAGAAGCAGCAGAAGCAGCAGAAGCAGCAGAAGCAGCAGAAGCAGCAGAAGCAGCAGAAGCAGCAGAAGCAGCAGAAGCCGCAGAAGCAGCAGAAGCAGCAGAAGCAGCAGAAGCAGCAGAAGCCAGCAGAAGCAGCAGAAGCAGCAGAAGCAGCAGAAGCAGCAGAAGCAGCAGAAGCAAGCAGCAGAAGCAGCAGAAGCAGCAGAAGCAGCAGAAGCAGCAGAAGCAGCAGAAGCAGCAGAAGCAGCAGAAGCAGCAGAAGCAGCAGAAGCAGCAGAAGCAGCAGAAGCAGCAGAAGCAGCAGAAGCAGCAGAAGCAGCAGAAAGCAGCAGAAGCAGCAGAAGCAGCAGAAGCAGCAGAAGCAGCAGAAGCAGCAGAAGCAGCAGAAGCAGCAGAAGCAGCAGAAGCAGCAGAAGCAGCAGAAGCAGCAGAAGCAGCAGAAGCAGCAGAAGCAGCAAGCAGCGAAGCAGCAGAAGCAGCAGAAAGCAGCAGAAGCAGCAGAAGCAGCAGAAGCAGCAGAAGCAGCAGAAGCAGCAAGCAGAAGCAGCAGAAGCAGCAGAAGCAGCAGAAGCAGCAGAAGCAGCAGAAGCAGCAGAAGCAGCAGAAGCAGCAGAAGCAGCAGAAGCCGCAGAAGCAGCAGAAGCAGCAGAAGCAGCAGAAGCAGCAGAAGCAGCAGAAGCAGCAGAAGCAGCAGAAGCAGCAGAAGCAGCAGAAGCAGCAGAAGCAGCAGAAGCAGCAGAAGCAGCAGAAGCAGCAGAAGCAGCAGAAGCAGCAGAAGCAGCAGAAGCAGCAGAAGCAGCAGAAGCAGCAGAAGCAGCAGAAGCAGCAGAAGCAGCAGAAGCAGCAGAAGCAGCAGAAGCAGCAGAAGCAGCAGAAGCAGCAGAAGCAGCAGAAGCAGCAGAAGCAGCAGAAGCAGCAGAAGCAGCAGAAGCAGCAGAAGCAGCAGAAGCAGCAGAAGCAGCAGAAGCAGCAGAAGCAGCAGAAGCAGCAGAAGCAGCAGAAGCAGCAGAAGCAGCAGAAGCAGCAGAAGCAGCAGAAGCAGCAGAAGCAGCAGAAGCAGCAGAAGCAGCAGAAGCAGCAGAAGCAGCAGAAGCAGCAGAAGCAGCAGAAGCAGCAGAAGCAGCAGAAGCAGCAGAAGCAGCAGAAGCAGCAGAAGCAGCAGAAGCAGCAGAAGCAGCAGAAGCAGCAGAAGCAGCAGAAGCAGCAGAAGCAGCAGAAGCAGCAGAAGCAGCAGAAGCAGCAGAAGCAGCAGAAGCAGCAGAAGCAGCAGAAGCAGCAGAAGCAGCAGAAGCAGCAGAAGCAGCAGAAGCAGCAGAAGCAGCAGAAGCAGCAGAAGCAGCAGAAGCAGCAGAAGCAGCAGAAGCAGCAGAAGCAGCAGAAGCAGCAGAAGCAGCAGAAGCAGCAGAAGCAGCAGAAGCAGCAGAAGCAGCAGAAGCAGCAGAAGCAGCAGAAGCAGCAGAAGCAGCAGAAGCAGCAGAAGCAGCAGAAGCAGCAGAAGCAGCAGAAGCAGCAGAAGCAGCAGAAGCAGCAGAAGCAGCAGAAGCAGCAGAAGCAGCAGAAGCAGCAGAAGCAGCAGAAGCAGCAGAAGCAGCAGAAGCAGCAGAAGCAAGCCCGAAGCAGCAGAAGGCAAGCAGCAAGCAGCAGAAGCAGCAGAAGCAGCAGAAGCAGCAGAAGCAAGCAGAAGCAGCAGAGCAGCAGAAGCAGGCCAGAAGCAGCAGAAGCAGCAGAAGCAGCAGAAGCAGCAGAAGCCGCAGAAGCCAGCAGGAAGCAGCAGAAGCAGCAGAAGCAGCAGAAGCAGCAGAAGCAGCAAGAAGCAGCAAAGAGCAGAAGCAGCAGAAGCAGCAGAAGCAGCAGAAGCAGCAGAAGCAGCAGAAGAAGCAGCAGAAGCAGCAGAAGCAGCAGAAGCAGCAGAAGCAGCAGAAGCAGCAGAAGCAGCAGAAGCAGCAGAGAAGCAGCCAGAAGCAGCAGAAGCAGCAGAAGCAGCAGAAGCAGCAGAAGCAGCAGAAGCAGCAGAAGCAGCAGAAGCAGCAGAAGCAGCAGAAGCAGCAGAAGCAGCAGAAGCAGCCAGAAGCAGCAGAAGCAGCAGAAGCAGCAGAAGCAGCAGAAGCAGCAGAAGCAGCAGAAGCAGCAGAAGCAGCAGAAGCAGCAGAAGCAGCAGAAGCAGCAGAAGCAGCAGAAGAAGCAGAAGCAGCAGAAGCAGCAGAAGCAGCAGAAGCAGCAGAAGCAGCAGAAGCAGAGCAGCAGAAGCAGCAGAAGCAGCAGAAGCAGCAGAAGCAGCAGAAGCAGCAGAAGCAGCAGAAGCAGCAGAAGCAGCAGAAGCAGCAGAAGCAGCAGAAGCAGCAGAAGCAGCAGAAGCAGCAGAAGCAGCAGAAGCAGCAGAAGCAGCAGAAGCAGCAGAAGCAGCCAGAAGCAGCAGAAGAGCAGCAGAAGCAGCAGAAGCAGCAGAAGCAGCAGAAGCAGCAGAAGCAGCAGAAGCAGCAGAAGCAGCAGAAGCAGCAGAAGCAGCAGAAGCAGCAGAAGCAGCAGAAGCAGCAGAAGCAGCAGAAGCAGCAGAAGCAGCAGAAGCAGCAGAAGCAGCAGAAGCAGCAGAAGCAGCAGAAGCAGCAGAAGCAGCAGAAGCAGCAAGCCAGCAGAAGCAGCAGAAGCAGCAGAAGCAGCAGAAGCAGCAGAAGCAGCAGAAGCAGCAGAAGCAGCAGAAGCAGCAGAAGCAGCAGAAGCAGCAGAAGCAGCAGAAGCAGCAGAAGCAGCAGAAGCAAGCAGAAGCAGCAGAAGCAAGCAGAAGCAGCAGAAGCAGCAGAAGCAGCAGAAGCAGCAGAAGCAGCAGAAGCAGCAGAAGCAGCAGAAGCAGCAGAAGCAGCAGAAGCAGCAGAAGCAGCAGAAGCAGCAGAAGCAGCAGAAGCAGCAGAAGCAGCAGAAGCAGCAGAAGCAGCAGAAGCAGCAGAAGCAGCAGAAGCAGCAGAAGCAGCAGAAGCAGCAAGAAGCAGCAGAAGCAGCAGAAGCAGCAGAAGCAGCAGAAGCAGCAGAATCAGCAGAAGCAGCAGAAGCAGCAGAAGCAGCAGAAGCAGCAGAAGCAGCAGAAGCAGCAGAAGCAGCAGAAGCAGCAGAAGCAGCAGAAGCAGCAGAAGCAGCAGAAGCAGCAGAAGCAGCAGAAGCAGCAGAAGCAGCAGAAGCAGCAGAAGCAGCAGAAGCAGCAGAAGCAGCAGAAGCAGCAGAAGCAGCAGAAGCAGCAGAAGCAGCAGAAGCAGCAGAAGCGAGCAGAAGCAGCAGAAGCAGCAGAAGCAGCAGAAGCAGCAGAAGCAGCAGAAGCAGCAGAAGCAGCAGAAGCAGCAGAAGCAGCAGAAGCAGCAGAAGCAGCAGAAGCAGCAGAAGCAGCAGAAGCAGCAGAAGCAGCAGAAGCAGCAGAAGCAGCAGAAGCAGCAGAAGCAGCAGAAGCAGCAGAAGCAGCAGAAGCAGCAGAAGCAGCAGAAGCAGCAGAAGCAGCAGAAGCAGCAGAAGCAGCAGAAGCAGCAGAAGCAGCAGAAGCAGCAGAAGCAGCAGAAGCAGCAGAAGCAGCAGAAGCAGCAGAAGCAGCAGAAGCAGCAGAAGCAGCAGAAGCAGCAGAAGCAGCAGAAGCAGCAGAAGCAGCAGAAGCAGCAGAAGCAGCAGAAGCAGCAGAAGCAGCAGAAGCAGCAGAAGCAGCAGAAGCAGCAGAAGCAGCAGAAGCAGCAGAAGCAGCAGAAGCAGCAGAAGCAGCAGAAGCAGCAGAAGCAGCAGAAGCAGCAGAAGCAGCAGAAGAAGCAGCAGAAGCAGCAGAAGCAGCAGAAGCAGCAGAAAGCAGCAGAAGCAGCAGAAGCAGCAGAAGCAGCAGAAGCAGCCAGAAGCAGCAGAAGCAGCAGAAGCAGCAGAAGCAGCAGAAGCAGCAGAAGCAGCAGAAGCAGCAGAAGCAGCAGAAGCAGCAGAAGCAGCAGAAGCAGCAGAAGCAGCAAGAAGCAGCAGAAGCAGCAGAAGCAGCAGAAGCCAGCAGAAAGCAGCAGAAGCAGCAGAAGCAGCAGAAAGCAGCAGAAGCAGCAGAAGCAGCAGAAGCAGCAGAAGCAGCAGAAGCAGCAGAAGCAGCAGAAGCAGCAGAAGCAGCAGAAGCAGCAGAAGCAGCAGAAGCAGCAGAAAGCAGACAGAAGCAGCAGAAGCAGCAGAAGCAGCCGAAGCAGCAGAGCAGCAAGCAGCAAGCAGCAGAAGCAGCAGAAGCAGCAGAAGCAGCAGAAGCAGCAGAAAGCAGCCAGAAGCAGCAGAAGCAGCAGAAGCAGCAGAAGCAGCAGAAGCAGCAGAAGCAGCAGAAGCAGCAGAAGCAGCAGAAGAAGCAGCAGAAGCAGCAGAAGCAGCAGAAGCAGCAGAAGCAGCAGAAGCAGCAGAAGCAGCAGAAGCAGCAGAAGCAGCAGAAGCAGCAGAAAGCAGCAGAAGCAGCAGAAGCAGCAGAAGCAGCAGAAGCAGCAGAAGCAGCAGAAGCAGCAGAAGCAGCAGAAGCAGCAGAAGCAGCAGAAGCAGCAGAAGCAGCAGAAGCAGCAGAAGCAGCAGAAGCAGCAGAAGCAGCAGAAGCAGCAGAAGCAGCAGAAGCAGCAGAAGCAGCAGAAGCAGCAGAAGCAGCAGAAGCAGCAGAAGCAGCAGAAGCAGCAGAAGCAGCAGAAGCAGCAGAAGCAGCAGAAGCAGCAGAAGCAGCAGAAGCAGCAGAAGCAGCAGAAGCAGCAGAAGCAGCAGAAAGCAGCAGAAGCAGCAGAAGCAGCAGAAGCAGACAGAAGCAGCAGAAGCAGCAGAAGCAGCAGAAGCAGCAGAAGCAGCAGAAGCAGCAGAAGCAGCAGAAGCAGCAGAAGCAGCAGAGACGCAGCAGAAGCAGCCAGAAGCAGCAGAAGCAGCAGAAGCAGCAGAAGCAGCAGAAGCTAGCAGAAGCAGCAGAGAAGCAGCAGAAGCAGCAGAAGCAGCAGAAGCAGCAGAAGCAGCAGAAGCAGCAGAAGCAGCAGAAGCAGCAGAAGCAGCAGAAGCAGCAGAAGCAGCAAGAAGCAGCAGAAGCAGCAGAAGCAGCAGAAGCAGCAGAAGCAGCAGAAGCAGCAGAAGCAGCAGAAGCAGCAGAAGCAGCAGAAGCAGCAGAAGCAAAGCAGAAGCAGCAGAAGCAGCAGAAGCAGCAGAAGCAGCAGAAGCAGCAGAAGCAGCAGAAGCAGCGAAGCAGCAGAAGCAAGCAGAAGCAGCAGAAGCAGCAGAAGCAGCAGAAGCAGCAGAAGCAGCAGAAGCAGCAGAAGCAGCAGAAGCAGCAGAAGCAGCAGAAGCAGCAGAAGCAGCAGAAGCAGCAGAAGCAGCAGAAGCAGCAGAAGCAGCAGAAGCAGCAGAAGCAGCAGAAGCAGCAGAAGCAGCAGAAAGCAGCAGAAGCAGCAGAAGCAGCAGAAGCAGCAGAAGCAGCAGAAGCAGCAGAAGCAGCAGAAGCAGCAGAAGCAGCAGAAGCAGCAGAAGCAGCAGAAGCAGCAGAAGCAGCAGAAGCAGCAGAAGCAGCAGAAGCAGCAGAAGCAGCAGAAGCAGCAGAAGCAGCAGAAGCAGCAGAAGCAGCAGAAGCAGCAGAAGCAGCAGAAGCAGCAGAAGCAGCAGAAGCAGCAGAAGCAGCAGAAGCAGCAGAAGCAGAAGCAGCAGAAGCAGCAGAAGCAGCAGAAGCAGCAGAAGCAGCAGAAGCAGCAGAAGCAGCAGAAGCAGCAGAAGCAGCAGAAGCAGCAGAAGCAGCAGAAGCAGCAGAAGCAGCAGAAGCAGCAGAAGCAGCAGAAGCAGCAGAAGCAGCAGAAGCAGCAGAAGCAGCAGAAGCAGCAGAAGCAGCAGAAGCAGCAGAAGCAGCAGAAGCAGCAGAAGCAGCAGAAGCAGCAGAAGCAGCAGAAGCAGCAGAAGCAGCAGAAGCAGCAGAAGCAGCAGAAGCAGCAGAAGCAGCAGAAGCAGCAGAAGCAGCAGAAGCAGCAGAAGCAGCAGAAGCAGCAGAAGCAGCAGAAGCAGCAGAAGCAGCAGAAGCAGCAGAAGCAGCAGAAGCAGCAGAAGCAGCAGAAGCAGCAGAAGCAGCAGAAGCAGCAGAAGCAGCAGAAGCAGCAGAAGCAGCAGAAGCAGCAGAAGCAGCAGAAGCAGCAGAAGCAGCAGAAGCAGCAGAAGCAGCAGAAGCAGCAGAAGCAGCAGAAGCAGCAGAAGCAGCAGAAGCAGCAGAAGCAGCAGAAGCAGCAGAAGCAGCAGAAGCAGCAGAAGCAGCAGAAGCAGCAGAAGCAGCAGAGCAGCAGAAGCAGCAGAAGCAGCAGAAGCAGCAGAAGCAGCAGAAGCAGCAGAAGCAGCAACAAGCAGCAGAAGCAGCAGAAGCAGCAGAAGCAGCAGAAGCAGCAGAAGCAGCAGAAGCAGCAGACGCAGCAGAAGCAGCAGAAGCAGCAGAAGCAGCAGAAGCAGCAGAAGCAGCAGAAGCAGCAGAAGCAGCAGAAGCAGCAGAAGCAGCAGAAGCAGCAGAAGCAGCAGAAGCAGCAGAAGCAGCAGAAGCAGCAGAAGCAGCAGAAGCAGCAGAAGCAGCAGAAGCAGCAGAAGCAGCAGAAGCAGCAGAAGCAGCAGAAGCAGCAGAAGCAGCAGAAGCAGCAGAAGCAGCAGAAGCAGCAGAAGCAGCAGAAGCAGCAGAAGCAGCAGAAGCAGCAGAAGCAGCAGAAGCAGCAGAAGCAGCAGAAGCAAGCAGAAGCAGCAGAAGCAGCAGAAGCAGCAGAAGCAGCAGAAGCAGCAGAAGCAGCAGAAGCAGCAGAAGCAGCAGAAAGCAGCAGAAGCAGCAGAAGCAGCAGAAGCAGCAGAAGCAGCAGAAGCAGCAGAAGCAGCAGAAGCAGCAGAAGCAGCAGAAGCAGCAGAAGCAGCAGAAGCAGCAGAAGCAGCAGAAGCAGCAGAAGCAGCAGAAGCAGCAGAAGCAGCAGAAGCAGCAGAAGCAGCAGAAGCAGCAGAAGCAGCAGAAGCAGCAGAAGCAGCAGAAGCCAGCAGAAGCAGCAGAAGCAGCAGAAGCAGCAGAAGCAGCAGAAGCAGCAGAAGCAGCAGAAGCAGCAGAAGCAGCAGAAGCAGCAGAAGCAGCAGAAGCAGCAGAAGCAGCAGAAGCAGCAGAAGCAGCAGAAGCAGCAGAAGCAGCAGAAGCAGCAGAAGCAGCAGAAGCAGCAGAAGCAGCAGAAGCAGCAGAAGCAGCAGAAGCAGCAGAAGCAGCAGAAGCAGCAGAAGCAGCAGAAGCAGCAGAAGCAGCAGAAGCAGCAGAAGCAGCAGAAGCAGCAGAAGCAGCAGAAGCAGCAGAAGCAGCAGAAGCAGCAGAAGCAGCAGAAGCAGCAGAAGCAGCAGAAGCAGCAGAAGCAGCAGAAGCAGCAGAAGCAGCAGAAGCAGCAGAAGCAGCAGAAGCAGCAGAAGCAGCAGCAGAGCAGCAGAAGCAGCAGAAGCAGCAGAAGCAGCAGAAGCAGCAGAAGCAGCAGAAGCAGCAGAAGCAGCAGAAGCAGCAGAAGCAGCAGAAGCAGCAGAAGCAGCAGAAGCAGCAGAAGCAGCAGAAGCAGCAGAAGCAGCAGAAGCAGCAGAAGCAGCAGAAGCAGCAGAAGCAGCAGAAGCAGCAGAAGCAGCAGAAGCAGCAGAAGCAGCAGAAGCAGCAGAAGCAGCAGAAGCAGCAGAAGCAGCAGAAGCAGCAGAAGCAGCAGAAGCAGCAGAAGCAGCAGAAGCAGCAGAAGCAGCAGAAGCAGCAGAAGCAGCAGAAGCAGCAGAAGCAGCAGAAGCAGCAGAAGCAGCAGAAGCAGCAGAAGCAGCAGAAGCAGCAGAAGCAGCAGAAGCAGCAGAGCAGCAGAAGCAGCAGAAGCAGCAGAAGCAGCAGAAGCAGCAGAAGCAGCAGAGCAGCAGAAGCAGCAGAAGCAGCAGAAGCAGCGAAGCAGCAGAAGCAGCAGAAGCAGCAGAAGCAGCAGAAGCAAGCCAGAAGCAGCAGAAGCAGCAGAAGCAGCAGAGCAGCAGAAGCAGCAGAAAGCAGCAGAAGCAGCAGAAGCAGCAGAAGCAGCAGAAGCAGCAGAAGCAGCAGAAGCAGCAGAAGCAGCAAGAAGCAGCAGAAGCAGCAGAAGCAGCAGAAGCAGCAGAAGCAGCAGACGCAGCAGAAGCAGCAGAAGCAGCCGAAGCACAGAAGCAGCAGAAGCAGCAGAAGCAGCAGAAGCAGCAGAAGCAGCGAAGCAGCAGAAGCAGCAGAAGCAGCAGAAGCAGCAGAAGAGCAGAAGCAGCAGAAGCAGCAGAAGCAGCAGAGCAGAGAAGCAGCAGAAGCAGCAGAAGCAGCAGAAGCAGCAGAAGCAGCAGAAGCAGCAGAAGCAGCAGAAGCAGCAGAAGCAGCAGAAGCAGCAGAAGCAGCAGAAGCAGCAGAAGCAGCAGAAGCAGCAAAAGCAGCAGAAGCAGCAGAAGCAGCAGAAGCAGCAGAAGCAGAAGAAGCAGCAGAAGCAGCAGAAGCAGCAGAAGCAGCAGAAGCAGCAGAAGCAGCAGAAGCAGCAGAAGCAGCAGAAGCAGCAGAAGCAGCAGAAGCAGCAGAAGCAGCAGAAGCAGCAGAAGCAGCAGAAGCAGCAGAAGCAGCAGAAGCAGCAGAAGCAGCAGAAGCAGCAGAAGCAGCAGAAGCAGCAGAAGCAGCAGAAGCAGCAGAAGCAGCAGAAGCAGCAGAAGCAGCAGAAGCAGCAGAAGCAGCAGAAGCAGCAGAAGCAGCAGAAGCAGCAGAAGCAGCAGAAGCAGCAGAAGCAGCAGAAGCAGCAGAAGCAGCAGAAGCAGCAGAAGCAGCAGAAGCAGCAGAAGCAGCAGAAGCAGCAGAAGCAGCAGAAGCAGCAGAAGCAGCAGAAGCAGCAGAAGCAGCAGAAGCAGCCGAAGCAGCAGAAGCAGCAGAAGCAGCAGAAGCAGCAGAAGCAGCAGAAGCAGCAGAAGCAGCAGAGAGCAGCAGAAGCAGCAGAAGCAGCAGAAGCAGCAGAAGCAGCAGAAGCAGCAGAAGCAGCAGAAGCAGCAGAAGCAGCAGAAGCAGCAGAAGCAGCAGAAGCAGCAGAAGCAGCAGAAGCAGCAGAAGCAGCAGAAGCAGCAGAAGCAGCAGAAGCAGCAGAAGCAGCAGAAGCAGCAGAAGCAGCAGAAGCAGCAGAAGCAGCAGAAGCAGCAGAAGCAGCAGAAGCAGCAGAAGCAGCAGAAGCAGCAGAAGCAGCAGAAGCAGCAGAAGCAGCAGAAGCAGCAGAAGCAGCAGAAGCAGCAGAAGCAGCAGAAGCAGCAGAAGCAGCAGAAGCAGCAGAAGCAGCAGAAGCAGCAGAAGCAGCAGAAGCAGCAGAAGCAGCAGAAGCAGCAGAAGCAGCAGAAGCAGCAGAAGCAGCAGAAGCAGCAGAAGCAGCAGAAGCAGCAGAAGCAGCAGAAGCAGCAGAAGCCAGCAGAAGCAGCAGAAGCAGCAGAAGCAGCAGAAGCAGCAGAAGCAGCAGAAGCAGCAGAAGCAGCAGAAGCAGCAGAAGCAGCAGAAGCAGCAGAAGCAGCAGAAGCAGCAGAAGCAGCAGAAGCAGCAGAAGCAGCAGAAGCAGCAGAAGCAGCAGAAGCAGCAGAAGCAGCAGAGCAGCAGAAGCAGCAGAAGCAGCAGAAGCAGCAGAAGCAGCAGAAGCAGCAGCAAGCAGCAGAAGCAGCAGAAGCAGCAGAAGCAGCAGAAGCAGCAGAAGCAGCAGAAGCAGCAGAAGCAGCAGAAGCAGCAGAAGCAGCAGAAGCAGCAGAAGCCAGCAGAAGCAGCAGAAAGAAGCAGCAGAAGCAGCAGAAGCAGCAGAAGCAGCAGAAGCAGCAGAAGCAGCAGAAGCAGCAGAAGCAGCAGAAGCAGCAGAAAGCAGCAGAAGCAGCAGAAGCAGCAGAAGCAGCAGAAGCAGCAGAAGCAGCAGAAGCAGCAGAAGCAGCAGAAGCAGCAGAAGCAGCAGAAGCAGCAGAAGCAGCAGAAGCAGCAGAAGCAGCAGAAGCAGCAGAAGCAGCAGAAGCAGCAGAAGCAGCAGAAGCAGCAGAAAGAGCAATATGCAGCAGACCAGCAGAAGCAGCAGAAGCAGCAGAAAGCAGCAGAAGCAGCAGAAGCAGCAGAAGCAGCAGAAGCAGCAGAAGCAGCAGAAGCAGAAGAAGCAGCAGAAGCAGCAGAAGCAGCAGAAGCAGCAGAAGCAGCAGAAGCAGCAGAAGCAGCAGAAGCAGCAGAAGCAGCAGAAGCAGCAGAAGCAGCAGAAGCAGCAGAAGCAGCAGAAGCAGCAGAAGCAGCAGAAGCAGCAGAAGCAGCAGAAGCAGCAGAAGCAGCAGAAGCAGCAGAAGCAGCAGAAGCAGCAGAAAGCAGCAGAAGCAGCGAAGCAGCAGAAGCAGCAGAAGCAGCAGAAGCAGCAGAAGCAGCAGAAGCAGCAGAAGCAGCAGAAGCAGCAGAAGCAGCAGAAGCAGCAGAAGCAGCAAGGAAGCAGCAGAAGCAGCAGAAGCAGCAGAAGCAGCAGAAGCAGCAGAAGCAGCAGAAGCAGCAGAAGCAGCAGAAGCAGCAGAAGCAGCAGAAGCAGCAGAAGCAGCAGAAGCAGCAGAAGCAGCAGAAGCAGCAGAAGCAGCAGAAGCAGCAGAAGCAGCAGAAGCAGCAGAAGCAGCAGAAGCAGCAGAAGCAGCAGAAGCAGCAGAAGCAGCAGAAGCAGCAGAAGCAGCAGAAGCAGCAGAAGCAGCAGAAGCAGCAGAAGCAGCAGAAGCAGCAGAAGCAGCAGAAGCAGCAGAAGCAGCAGAAGCAGCAGAAGCAGCAGAAGCAGCAGAAGCAGCAGAAGCAGCAGAAGCAGAAGCAGCAGAAGCAGCAGAAGCAGCAGAAGCAGCAGAAGCAGCAGAAGCAGCAGAAGCAGCAGAAGCAGCAGAAGCAGCAGAAGCAGCAGAAGCAGCAGAAGCAGCAGAAGCAGCAGAAGCAGCAGAAGCAGCAGAAGCAGCAGAAGAAGCAGCAGAAGCAGCAGAAGCAGCAGAAGCAGCAGAAGCAGCAGAAGCAGCAGAAGCAGCAGAAGCAGCAGAAGCAGCAGAAGCAGGAGAAGCAGGAGAAGCAGCAGAAGCAGCAGAAGCAGCAGAAGCAGCAGAAGCAGCAGAAGCAGCAGAAGCAGCAGAAGCAGCAGAAGCAGCAGAAGCAGCAGAAGCAGCAGAAGCAGCAGAAGCAGCAGAAGCAGCAGAAGCAGCAGAAGCAGCAGAAGCAGCAGAAGCAGCAGAAGCAGCAGAAGCAGCAGAAGCAGCAGAAGCAGCAGAAGCAGCAGAAGCAGCAGAAGCAGCAGAAGCAGCAGAAGCAGCAGAAGCAGCAGAAGCAGCAGAAGCAGCAGAAGCAGGTGAGGAACGTCAGCATGGACAGGCCAGAGGAGCGGGAGGTTCGGGAGGAACGGGAGGAACAAAAGGATCAGGAGGGAAGGTAGGAGAGAGCTCGTCAAGAGAGAAGGAGTCTTCTGGTGGCGCCAGTAATGCTTCGAAGCTGAAGCTGCTGCTGCTTAAGAGTATGCGAGGAGGGAGCGGGAGGGAAGGTGGGTGGAAAGATGGTAGTGGAGCTAGGGGATCGAATCCCAGCTTTGAGAATATTGACTTGAATGTTGCTGATGGTTCTGGCTCTGTGGGCTCGGAAGGAGGCTCGGATGGAGGCTCGGTAAGAGGCGTGCCAAGTGGTATTAGCTTTGGGAGTATTAAGGGCAAGGCGGTCAGCTTTGGCGTTTCTGGGGCGCCTCGGCCGAAGCTGGACTTGCCGAACCTAAAACCCGAAGCTATTGCAGCTCCGATCCGGAAGATTAGGTCGACGGTGGCTGGTGTAGCAACAACAGCGCGAAATCAGCAACATCAATAACAGCAGCAGTAGAAGCAGCAGCAGCAGCAGCAGCAGCAGCAGCATAAGCAGCAGCAGCAGCTGGAGGGATGTGGAGTGACGGATGGGATTCCAAGCAGCGAATCACTGATTCACAGCAGCAGAACTGGCAGCAGTGGTGGCAGAATTGGGAGACGAATTGAGGGTGGTGGTGGCGTTTGTGTAAGTATTGCGGAGGGTAACAGTGGTAACAATGATACTGTAACAGTGGTTCCGGTGGTGGCTTTTGAGAGGCATATTTATTGATTATACATACCGTATCTAACCTTTACATGGTGTGTTTGCTAACCTTAGAAACTTCCATTCCAATGTGGGATTGGCATTGCTCTCTCAGAGATACTTTGGCTGATCGTATCTGGTTTATGATTTGATTCGCCTACCTGCATAGATGGATAAGTGCTGTGCTGTGCTCTACGGGCATATCACGATGAATGTGCAAGACACGACAAATTCTCTGTCGTGCTTCATGTGGCTGCATCAATATACGGTACGGTAGAGTGCAGTGTATAGGAGTACGAAGTATAGGAGCAACTAAGCTGTAAAATTAATAGACATAGCCAGTCCCACTTTCTACGGACTCACAGGAAACTTCATCCCCTTCTCAACGAGCTCTTGAAGCCCCTTCTTCAACCTCCCTGCAGCAACCTTGTCCTTTTCTGCAGGTAAGTTCGCAAAAGACACCCTAATATGCCCGGGTGCACCGCTCGCACTCCCCGGAATAACCACCACACCATGTTCACTCACCAACCACCTCACCACAGCCCCATCATCTTCACACCCTTCCGGAAGCTTCGCCCAAAGGTAAATAGCCCCCTCCCCGCCCCACACCCGCCCACCAACCCCCGGACCTGTGAGCACGGCTAGGGCGTCCCGAGCCTGTTCCAGGTTCGTCGAAAGGGTTTGGATACAGCGGTCGACGAAGGGTTTTCCAGCGGAAGGGGATTGGAGGGCGGCAAGGGCTGCTTGTTGACCAATGAGATTGGCGCAAATGGGGATGGTGTCTTGTGCTTTGATGAGAGAGGGACCGAGCCGAGGGGAGGAATTGGGATAGGCGATCTGGGTGGTGGGGTAGAGAGTGGGGGAGAGGGGGAAGAGGGGGACGAGGGCGGAGAGGGGGGGAGACGAGGAGAGGGGAATCAAAAGTAAAGGGAACATGGGTCAGTGTGGCATACTAGGGGGTGGTGTCCTGGGCTTTAATGAGAGATGGGCCGAGACGAGGGGAGGGGTTAGGGTAGGGGGTATGGATGGTGGGGTAGAGAGAGAGAGAGAGAGAAGGGGGAGATGGGCAGACATGTAAGCTAGCGTACGTCACACATTGATTATGAAGAGGCGTATGCAGTAGAGACACTATACAGAGAATCACATGCCATGAATGTACACCCAACATTACATGCCACTGTCACTCACATAGCCAACGCGCCATCCCATCATGCCATAGGCCTTGGAGAAGGAGAAGATGTTGAGTATGTGAGGGGCCTCCAGGCACACATGGCGGTTACCACCGTACATGAAGTACCTGAGGTGTGTGTTTGGAGCCAGTGCAAGGCAAGGGAACATGAGGTTCAGGTGTCTCGATATTAGCCTTCCAAGCACACATGGCGGTTACCATCGTACACAAAGTACCTGAGGTGTGTGTTTGGAGCACAGAGGGCAATGCAAGGCAACATAGGTTTCAGGCACTGGACTAATCAATCGCCCTCCAGGCACACATGGCGGTTACCACCATACATGAAGTACCTGGGAGGGAGAGAGTGTTTGGAGAAAAGGGAAAGGCAAAGCAAGGCAGCATGAGTCTAAGGAGTCACCCTCTCCATGCACACATGGCGGTTACCACGGTACATGAAGTACCTGAGGTGCGTATTTGGAGCACACAGGGCAATGCAAGGCAACATAGGTTTCAGGCACTGGACTAATCAATCGGCCTCCAGGCACACATGGCGGTTACCACCATACATGAAGTACCTGGGAGAGAGAGTGTGTTTGGAGAAGGGGGCAAGGCAAAGCAAGGCAGCATGAGTCTAAGGAGGGACCCTCCAGGCACACATGGCGGTTACCACCGTACATGAAGTGCCTGAGAGAGAGTGTTGGAGAGCAGTGCAAGGCAAAGCAAGGGAAATAAGGCAGCATGCGATAAAGGAGTCACCCTCTCCAGGCACACATGGTGGTTACCATCGTACATGAAGCACCTGAGGGGAGTGTGTTTGGAGAGCAGTGCAAGGCAAAGCAAGGGAAATAAGGCAACATGGGATAAAGGAGTCAACCTCCAGGCACACATGGCGGTTACCACCATACATGAAGTACCTGAAGGGAGTGTGTTTGGAGCACACAGCACAGGGCAAGGCAGGGGAACATGGGTTTCAGGCACCTAAGGGGCCACCCTCCAGGCACACATGGCGGTTACCACCGTACATGAAGCACCTGCGATGGAGTTCGAAGAACGGGGCAAGACACGCGAGCAAGGCTTTCAGGCGCCTCAGTAAAAGCTCACGATGTTAGAGCATGTGTACTCACCCTTAAAGCACACATGCTCGAACATCGTACAAGTAGCTCCAGGAATATGAGCTTGGAGCATGGGGCAAGGCAACATCACGAGTGTTTGCAAGGAAGAATTAGGCATCAAGCATGTAAGTAAGATTGTTTTTGAGAATTCTCAAAAACAATCTGCAGCATCAAGCATGTAAGTACGATGCACGGGCAAAGAGCCAGTTTGTTTGGTCGACTCAAAGATAGACAGGTAAGAACCCCACACTGAAAGTGTGGGCAGCAGGCTACTGGCATAACAGGAACGGCTGCTAGGCACCTGAATAAGTAGCAGCACCATCCAACGTTATCAACTTAAGGGGATGATACATATACATATACAAATATACCTTGTATACTTCTATATCTATGTATGGGCGTTACCACTTTTGAGGCAGTTCAAGGCGATATGATGCGAGTGTTACCACTTCGGGTGCGCATACGTACTCGTAGGTGTTATCAAGCACCAGCCAGGAGCCAGCCTTCGCACATATAGCGGAGATTCTCTGTAGCGGGGACAGGGAGAGGGAAGGGTGGCACATGAAACAAGGCAGGGTGGTGGAAGAAGAGGAGAGGAAAGTTGAAAAACCACCATCCTGCTTCCATCAGGGGACAGTTCAAGTAAATACCCATGATAATGCTGGGGGAAAAAACAATTCATTCATACCTGCAATAAGCCCTCGGGAACATAGGTCCCCGTGGGGTTGTTGGGATTGGTGATCACCACCACTTTGCTTGCACCAGGGGGCATTTCAGGTAAACACCCCGATAATGCAGGGTAAAACTGATACATACCCGCAGTAAGTCCTCGGGAACATAGGTCCCGGTGGGGTTGTTGGGATTGGTGATCACCACCACTTTGGGAACCTTCCTGCCCTCCTTCCCAGAGAGCGCCTCCTCCAGCCAATCTGAGCGTGCCACGTGGTAGCATGGGAGTACAGAGGGAGAAAAGAGAAGCAGAAACATATGATCGATATGGAAGAAAAAGGTAGAATTCATGATTCTGTGGGGAATCGGTGCGTGGGCAAGACCTTGTGGGGAATCGGTGGGTGGGTAAGATCTTGTGAGGAAGTGGTGGGTGGGTAACTTGTAAGAGAGAGTGACAGAAGGGGCTGTGATTAAAGAATGATCTCGCTCACCAGCGCTGGGGTGCAGGGTATCAGAGTCACATCACATGGACCATAGACTACGTCAGTAACACCAGTCATCTGAAACGCCATCTGGTGGTTGACTGAAGTAGAATGGCTTGAAGAGGGGTGGCTGTGACTCATAAAGGGATTCAAGTCTCAAGAAGTATCTCTCTCGCTCACCAGCGCTGGGATGCAGGGTGTCGGAGTCACATGGGCCATACACAATGTCAGTAACGCCAGTCATCTGAAACGCCATCTGGTGGTTGACTGACTGTAGAGTAGAAGGACTCAAGTCTTGCGAATCATCCACTCACCAGCGCTGAGGTGCAGGGTGTCGGAGTCACATGGGCCATAGACAGTGTCAGTAACGTTAGTCATCTGAAACGCCATCTGGTGGTTGAAGTAGAAAGGCTTGAAGAGAGATGGCTGTGACTCACACAGAGAAGCGTCAAGTCTCAAGCATCCACTCAAGTCTTGCGAATCATCTCACTCACCAGCGCTGGGATGCAGGGTGTCGGAATCACATGGCCCATAGACTATGTCGGTGATGCCCGTCATCTGAAACGCCATCTCATGGTTGACTGAAGTGGAAGGGCTTGAAGAGAGATGGCTGGGACTCATAAAGGGATTCAAGTCTTAGGAATCATCTCACTCACCAGCGCTGGGGTGCAGGGTGTCGGGGTCACATGGCCCATACACGATGTCAGTGATGCCAGTCATCTGAAACGCCATCTGATGGTTGAAGTAGAACGGCTTGAAGAGCACCACTGCGTCGTCCGGGTCACACAGCGTTAATACCACGTTCACAAACGCCTGGTAGCGAGTGGGGATATATGAGGGTAGGATTGGAGGAGGATACTGGGTAACGGGAGGTTGAAGTAGAAAGGCTTGAAGAGCACCACTGCATCGTCTGGATCACAGAGCGTCAGCACCACGTTCACAAACGCCTGTGGCGGGAGGGCGGAGTTGCAGGGGGATAAAGATAGATAGAAGGTTAGGCTGTAGGATTGTCGCAGAGGGACTGAAGTGGAAAGGCTTGAAGAGCACCACTGCATCGTCCGGGTCACAGAGCGTCAGCATCATGTTCACAAATGCCTGGTGATTGGGGATATGAAAGGTTGGGTTTGGAGGAGGGTACGACGAGGCTAAGGGAGGTTAGGTCTTGGAGGGAGGTTGAAGTAGAAGAGCGTGAAGAGGACCACTGCGTCGTGCGAGTCACAAAGCGTCAGCACCACGTTAAATAACGCTGTACCCGCTGCTCACAGGGTCCTCCACCGCTGCCTGCGCTCCTAACAGGCTCATTCATGCCTAGGCTAATCCTCCTACACTATCACGCACTGCAACAGGCATGTGGGGTGGGTTTCCTGCCCCTCACCTAGTTGGCCCCAGCAGTGACCATGATAGACGAGTCCATGAGTCCATTCTCCGTCTTCACTTTCTCCACCAGCGCTGCTCTGAGCTCCATGGTGCCATCGTCCACCCCGTACCCGCTGCTCACAGGGTCATGCACCGCTGCCTGCGCTGCTGCCAGGACTGCATCGGGTGGTAACCAGTACACCACGCCCTGGCCCAACGACATGACGTCAGGGTTGAGCTTCATGAGGTCACGCATCTGGAGAGCGGGAGAGAGGGGATGGGAGGAGATAAGGGGAGATGGGAGAGAGAGAGATGGGGGAGAGATCGTCTGAAATTCACTACGTGGAAGGAAAACGCACACGTGAAGAAACAATAACGGACCTGAACAATAACGGGTTCGTCTGTATTCACGATCCGGCGGGATAGCTTCGCCATGGGAACTGCAGTTCCCGCTACAGCAGCCGCAGCGGCTGCTGAATCTGGCATTCCAGCCATGGCTGCTGCTGCTGCTACTGCTACGCCGAAGCGCCCCTTATCTCCGCTGCTACGTAACGCCAAGCTTCGTTTCTGCTGGTCACGAGTGCGACACGCGGTTTGATCAAGCGGAGTGTGCGGGTCAAACTGACGACCCGAGGTTCGGGAAACGGCGGAGATTGAGTTTCGGACGGGTGTACGGTTCTGGGAAGATGAACCAGTTGTTGGAGTGGAGCCAACACCAATAAGGAAGGCACTGGAAGGAGGAAAGCTGCTAGTAACCGGGCGAGTACTACGAGCGTTGGCTGGATTAGCTGTAGCGGATGGAGGAACGGAAGAGGCACGGACGGCCGTGGTGCTGACGTGGATCAGAGAGCTTTTCGGCAAGCTCGAGATTGGAGTGACAATGCTTTTCTCGAACGGGATGATGAAACGCGAGAGGCGCGTCGCGGAGTTCTCGAGGGGGATGGCGGTACGAACCCACATCAGGGTAGGTCCGCGAGAATGACACGGCAGTGCGGTGCCGGAATGAATGTAACGTGCTCGAAGTCACTTCGAGTGTAGACGGTAGAACCGATTGACGCAGTTGGCGCGCTGTGCTGTCAGTCAGTCACCTGCACTGCACTGTAGTCGAGCGGCCAAGATTGTTCCGGTGGCACTGAGAATGCCGGTCGGTCTGATTGACGATACTTGCTTGATGACGATGATGATGATGCAGTGGCAAGTGAATGTCAAAACTTCCTCTGGCAATTTCAATGGTGAAAATGGAAATGGGGACAGAAATCGATGCGAGGAAAGCTCGAGGCCTGTCTCCCACTAAGCCTCCAGTCACGTCTTTTCCCTCACACCACTCGCTTTCTTCTCCGAACACTTTTCCGGTATAACAAAGAAATTCGATACCAAGCTGCACCATAGCTGCCTGTAACGAAATGTTATGAGATTGAGAACCTTCATAAAAAGTGGGCAATTCCGGTTTTGCTGCTCGGTACTAGCAAGCTAACTGATGGTCCCATACCAATTCATAAGGCTTCTTCTCACCGTCAAGATCCGCTATCAACTTGGTAGAATCAATCTCCATCCTCTCCACCTCCTCCAACCCCAGATCCTTCATCTCACATCCAACTCTTACAAAAACAGCTGTTTGTGTGGCAAACCCCAGGTGCTCCGCTTCTGGCAGCACGCCCACTCCACCGAATGTAACATGGTAACCATACTCCTGCGCCAGCGCGTTCGCCCAGGATTCAAACTCCTTCCTTGTCCACTCGAATCGGTGATCGGAATTCCGCAACTCCTGCTGCTGCTGTTGCTGCTCCTGAGCCTGCTGACCTGTCTGACCTGCCTGCTGACCTGCCTGCTGTCCCTTCTTCTTTTTCCTTCTCTTCTTCCCTCCTCCTCCTGCCTGCCCTGCTGCTTCTTGTGGCTGCTGCAGTGGTGGGTCCTGCTGCTTGGCACCATTAGCAAGAGCAGTGACAGCATCACTGGCAGCTGCAGGATCAGCAGCAGCAGCAACAGCAGCAGCAGCGGCGGCGGCACTGGCATCAGCAGCATTTGTTGCAGGAGCATTAAAAGCAGTTGCAGCAGCAGTAGCAGCAGCAGCATCGGTCGCAGCAGCAGCTGCTGCGGGAGCAGCGGCGGCAGCAGCAGGGGCAGGAGCATCAGCAGCAACAGTAGCTGCAGCCCCAACAGCATCGGTTGGCATAGCAGAAGCAGCCGCAGGAGCATCAGCAGCAGCAGCAGGAGCGTCAGCAACAGCAGCCGGGGCATCAGCGGCAGCAGCAGCAGTAGCAGCACGGATGGCAGGGTTGTACTCGATATTAGGTGTGGAGACGAGCAGAAGGCGTGGTCTGAGAGCCCCCAGCACCACGGCTCCAAAGGCTGCCAATGGCTCCTCGTCTAAATGCTCCACCACCTGATGGAGTGGCAGCACGGATGGCAGGGTTGTACTCGATGTTAGGCGTGGAGACGAGCAGAACGCGTGGTCTGAGTGTTCCCAGCACCACGGCCCCAAAGGCTGCTAATGGCTCCTCGTCTAGATGCTCCACCACCTGATGGGTTAGGGTATGGATGATACATGCACACATGCACACATGCACACATGCACACATGCACGCAATGACACATGCACAAACGAGCACACAGACGAAGAGCAAGCAACCAAGAGCAAGCCAACAAGAGCAAGTCAATAAGAGCACGCGCATGGGCACAGTTGCTCTAAAGAATAATAGCGACAGGTTATTGCCAACTGTAGGTCACTACAGTACATTCGAGCGGAAGGGCCATAATGAGGTAGACAAATGAAACACCAAGGAAAGTCCAAGGGCATTGGATGCCTGTGTTGGTGCGACTTTTGAGAATTCTCAAAAGTCGCACCAAGTGAAACACCAAGGAAAGTCCAAGGGCACTGGATGCCTGTGTGACCATGGATGGATACACTTTCACACCATGGCATGGCATACCTCCAAGCAAGTTGCCACGTCAGCATTCTTCATGCGATCGTCCACGTCAGCAAGGGAGCCGGCATAGAGCGCCACCCGTGCAGAAGCGCCTCGTTCTGCAGGAGTGCAGGTTGTTTCTGGTGCAGGCTGCACCTGAGCTTGAGCAGAGGCTGCTTCTGGTGAAGGTTGCACCTGAGCCTCAGCAGTGCAGGTTGCTTCTGGTGCAGGCTGCACCTGCGCGTGAGCAGAGGCTGCTCCTGGTGAAGGTTGCACCTGAGCCTCAGCAGTGCAGGTTGCTTCTGGTGCAGGCTGCTCCTGTGCTGACGTAGTGGCTGATTCTGGTGATGCCTGAGTGGCTGCCTGTAGGCTGGTGATGGTGCGAGTTAGGCTCTGATACCATTCAAGCGGGGAGGCATGGAAGAGGGGGGATGTAGGGAGTGAGGGGAGGTGGGGGGTTGATGGGATCGGGTTGGGTTGAGAAGGGAGCATAAAGTGCCTTCCATGGTTAGAGCATGTGCAAACACAGCTGGTGATGTGAGTGAGGTGCAGAAGAATCAGAAAGAAACGCTTTCACCCACCTTCCCCACCCTCCCTCTCATCTCACTCTCTCACTCGTCCAATCCCTCCCTGCCCAGCCCACTCACCCGACCAGCCCGTTCCAGCTCTTTCTGACTGATGTCGAACCCCACCATGCTTGTCCTTTCCACCGCCCTCACTGCTTTTCTTCAACCTCCTCCCCCCCTCTCTCATCCCCCATCCCTTGCCCCATCCACTCACCCAACCAGCCCGCTCCAGCTCCTTCTGACTGATGTCGAACCCCACCATGCTTGTCCTTTCCACCGCCTTCACTGCTCGTTTTTCACCTCCTCTCCCTGCCTTCACCCCCGTACACTCACCCGACCAGCCCGTTCCAGCTCCTTCTGACTGATGTCGAACCCCACCATGCTTGTCCTTTCCACCACCTTCACTGCTTTCCTTTCACCTCCTCTCCCTGCCTTCACCCGCATCCACTCACCCGACCGGCCCGCTCCAGCTCCTTGTGACTGATGTCGAACCCCCCCATGCTCGCTGGCAAACAAAGCGACTCAACGTTGCTCCCACTGCCGCTGTCACAGCCAGCACTGCCGCCCTTCACCCCCTCCCATGCACAATCCACTCACCCGACCGGCCCGCTCCAGTTCCTTCTGGCTGATGTCGAACCCCACCATGCTTGTCCTTTCCACCGCCCTCACTGCTTTTCTTCCACCTCCTCCCCCCCTCTCTCATCCCCCATCCCTTGCCCCATCCACTCACCCGACCAGCCCGTTCCAGCTCCTTCTGACTGATGTCGAACCCCACCATGCTTGTCCTTTCCACCGCCTTCACTGCTCGTTTTTCACCTCCTCTCTCTGCCTTCACCCCCATCCACTCACCCGTCCAGCCCGCTCCAGCTCCTTGTGACTGATGTCGAACCCCGCCATGCTCGCTGGCAAGCAGAAAGAATCAGCGTTGCTTCCACTAATGCTGTTGCAGGCAGCACTGCCAACCTTGCTTCCGCCCTTGCTTGCTGCAGCTGAAGCAGACAGCAGGTAGTCGAAGAGAGAGGCAGACCCACAACCAACATCCAGCTGGGAGTGGGGGGTGGGGCAGGGAAAATGGGTGCTGTGAGTGGGGGTAAAGGGTTTGGCAGGGATGCAAAGGGTTGAGAATGGGTGCTGTGGGTGTGTGTGGGTGGAAGGTTTATAGCGGCAATGCTTCCTCTCTGTTTGAAGCAAACAGCAGGCGGTCGAAGAGAGGCGGATCCAGACCCAACGTCCAGCTGGGAGAGGGGCATTGGGGGTTTGGTGGATGAAAAAAACTGTAATTGGGTGCTGTGGGTGCAGGTGGACGTTCCAATGCCACGAATTTGCCAATCCCTTGAAGCAAACAGCAGGCGGTTGAAGAGAGAGGCGGATCCAGACCCAACGTCCAGCTGGGGATGAGGGTGAAAGAGGGGACGCACGGAGGGAGGAAGGCAAGGAGCAGGCTACGGTTGAAGGCATACAGTGGTTCACTTGTGTAGGTGTGCAGGTTCTCTGTATTTTGCCGCCTCTAATAGACAGGCCTGTTTTTGAGTCGACTCAAAAACAGGTTCACTTGTGTAGGCGTGCAGGTGGAAGGTGCAAAACAGCGCATCATACCCAGCAGCAACGCCCAGCCAAGTGACTTTTGAGTCGACTCAAAAGTCACCTTGTGTTTTGCCGCCTCAAATAGACAGGGAAGGTGCAAAACAAACAGCGCATCATACCCAGCAACAACGCCCAGCCAAGACAAAGAAATTGGAATCCCCAGGCTCACCAGGAATGCTGGGGCGTGCTTCGAGATGAGTGCTGCGGCAAAGGCAAGGCGCTGCTTGGAGAGGGACGGGGAGAAGATGGCTGCATCGATGCGATCCTCCTCCTCCGCTGCTGCGACCGAGAGGAGGGTGATTCGCCAGTGGAGGATTGAGGCGCCTGGGACTGGGAGGGGAGGGGGGGGTGGGGGGTTTGCATGAGGGGAATGAGAGGGACGGGGAGAAGATGGCTGCATCGATGCGATCCTCCTCCTCTGCTGCTGTGACTGAAAGGAGGGTGACGCGCCAGTGGAGGGCCGCGGGGCCTGGGATTGGAATGGAAAGGGGGAAAGCGAGGGAGAGAATGGCTGAGTTGATGCAATCCTCCAATCCTCCTCCTCCTCCTCCTCCTCCTCCTCCTCCTCCTCCTCCTCCTCCTCCTCCTCCTCCTCCTCCTCCTCTGCTGCTGCCACTGAGAGCAGGGTGATGCGCCAGTGGAGGGCCACGGGGCCTGGGATTGGGAGGAGCAGGGTGGGGGAGGGGGGGTGTATGAGGGGAAAGAGAGGGACGGGGGAGAAGACGGCTGCGTCGATGCGATCCTCCTCCTCTGCTGCTGCCACTGAGAGGAGGGTGACTCGCCAGTGGAGGATTTAGGCGCCTGGGACTGGGAGGAGGGGAAGAAGGGTTAGGGGAGAGGGGAGGAGGGGAATGTCGCAGGCGCAATCGCCTCCAGCCCAGGGAAGGCCGCCCAGATGCCCTTGCATGCACCAAGACCAGCTGGTACACCAACAGAAGTCAGCCACATAACAACTCATCCCCTCCCACCATCACTACCCTATGACCCCCCCCCCCTTCTCCTCCCTCCACTTCCCCCTCCCCCTATCACCGGTTGCACGTTGAATAACCTCAGGAGCAGGGAAGGGTGGCAAATGCCCTTGCATGCAACCACAACAAGCAGCTCATACACACGATGAGACTCAGCCACATAAGCACTCATCCCCCCACTACCACCACCACGACTCCCTTCGACCCCCCTCTCACCTGCCACAGGCTGAATCGCCTCCAGCGCAGGGAAGGGCAGCAGATGCCCGCGGATCGGTATGCTGACGTCAGCAGTCTGACCTGGCAGCAAGCAGCCAATCACAGCCTCGATCCGCTCGTCCACACAGCCGCGCCCAAACTCAAACTCGAAGCACTCCCTGCTCTCCAAGCACACTTCCTCCTTGCCCTCCGAGCAGACTTCTTTTGAGGGATGATGCGGCGATTTGCCAGCCTCGTGCTGCTGCTCAGCACACTGAAGCTCGTTCGTTTGCAGAGATACTGTATAGGCGATGGACACGAGGCAACCCAGGGCAGCAGGCGTGGTGGAAGAGGGCGAGGGGCCTGGGGAAGATGCTAGTGCTGTCACAGCATCATTGTTTCCTAGCATTGCCGCTGCACTGGTGGTTGCTCCTGTTGGGGAAGAATCTCCAACCTCCTTCAATCGCTTCCTTGCCATTGTGCCATCCTCATCCCCCTCCTCCTCCCTATTCTCCTCCTCCCTCTTCTCCTCCGCCCTCTTCTCCTCCTCCCTTTCCTTCTCCTCCATCTCCTCTCCATCCGCTCCATTTCCGTCTCCTGTGGTAATATCCATTTGTTCCCCTTCCCCCCCTTCCCCCTCTCCCCACCATACCCCCCAGGGATCCACGACTCTCCCCCACCCCTCCTCGTACTCTCTCTGAATCGCCCTCAGAGCCTCTAAGCACGCAGCATGCACAGCATCCATGCGCGCAGCGTAGCGGCGAGGAGAGAGGGCAACCAAGGGAGGAAGCGAGGGGCCTCTGCTAATGGTCACGCGGCATTTGAACCCACCGCTGCTGCCAGCGGTACCGCTACTGCTGGTGGTGTTGCTGGTGGTGCCAGCACTCGCAGCACTAGCGCCTGTGTCTGCACCACTTGTTGTGGCTGTGCCTGTGGCTGTCTTTGTGCTTGTGCCCATAGTTGCGGGTATGACGGAGCCTGATGGGGAGAGGAATTCAAACACAGGATCTCCAGCCACCAGCTGCATTGACTTCTGCTCGCAGCACGGCCCATGCTGCTTCTCTTGCTCCTGCTGCATCTCCTGCCCCTTCTGCTCCTGCTCCTGCTGCCCCTCCTGCTCCTGCTGATGCTCCTGCCGCTCCTGTTGCTGATACCCAGTCATGAATCCGCACACACACATGGGCGAGGGGTCGATGGCGCGCTGCATGGTGCAGAGCTCCAGCAGCATGGGCTTGGGGAGCTTGCCCCGCCAGAGGGCATTGGAGGAGAAGGAGAGAGGCAGGGAGGCGAGAAGAGGGGCCTCTAGGCTGAGCTGATACATGCCCCTGGGCTGGCGGGCGAGCAGGCGCCTGGAAGGGGGGTTGAGAGAGGTGGAGAGAGGTGGGGAAGAGAGGGCGGTGGAGGAGAAGGAGAGAGGCAAGGAGGCGAGGAGAGGGGCTTCTAGGCTGAGCTGGTACATGCCCCTGGGCTGGCGGGCCAGGAGACGCCTGGGGACGGTGGGGAGAGGGCGCGGAGGGGCAGTGAGAGGTTGGGAGGGAGACGTGGAACAAGGAGTGCGGCAGAGAGCATGGCACGGGCTAGATGAGGCAAGACAATGTTGGAAGTGGGGGGGGTGGGGGGTTGGGAAGGGAGACACGCATACGGGCGCATAAGCGATACCATTTGAAACCTCACTTGCACCCACCTATACACGTCCTCCCATGCCATCACCCCTTCCTCCTCCATCTCCCCTCTCCGGCTGTCGCTCCACGATGCCTCCACCACCGCCACCACTGCCGGCCGCACCTCTCAGACTCACCTCTGTAGGCCGCAACCCTGTAGGCCATCCCGTGTGACAGCATAAATCATTCAGCACCCATACATTCATACACCCACCTGTACACGTCCCACGCCGTCACCCCCTCCTCCTCCATCTCCCCTCTCCTCGTGTCACTCCACGATGCCTCCACCACCGCCACCACTGCAGGTCCCCGCACCTCACACCCCGCCAGCCAGCTCGCCATGCTGTTCACCGCCAGCTGGCATGTTGTCGTGCGGTTCGCGGCCAGCTGGCAGGGGTTTGTACTGTTCACTGGCACTCTGTCGGTGGTGCTGGTTGTATTCGTGGCACTTGGTGATGGTGGTGGTGGTGGTGGTGCTGCTGCTGGTGCTGGTGCTGGTGCTGCTATTGCTTCTGCTGTCTCTGCTGCAGAGGCTGTTGATTTTAATGGTTGTGTTGGTGGTGGTGGAATGTTGTGAGGCAGCAAAAAGGAGGCTGGGAGGAGCGAGAAGAGACGCATGTGGGGATGATGCTTGTGCAGTAGCCTGTGGGGAGGGCGTGGGAGGGGTGGGAGGGGAAAGATGGCAGGGGAAGAAGGAAACAAAAGGGAGAGTCAATATCATTATGAGGACCACTCGTGAGTGGAAGGACGAGAGGCAAGAAACGGATGAACGGATGGATGGATGGAGATAAACAGATAGATAGGATTTGAAAGGACGGTCTCACTTACGTTGTTTGAGATGACAAGTGACCCAGAGTCCGCACCGACCGACTATGTTCGATTCGAGTCACTTTTAAGAATTCTCAAAGGTGGACTTTGAATCAGATGGTCCCACTCACTTGGAGATGACAAGTGATCCGGCATCTGCACCAACAACCACCTGTCTCTTATCCCTGCTCGTCTCCCTCCGCTCGCCCTCTCTGCTGCCACTACCACCGCTGCTGCCATTACTGGCTGTGTGCCCGCTGCTGCTGCCATCCTTCTCCGCGCTCCCACTGCTCCTCTCGCCCCCAGACCAGCTCGCTACAAGAACCTCTGCTATTCGATCCAGAATGTACTCGTCCCTCCTCACAGTCACACTCAGCGTCCGAGGCAACTCGTGGGAGCACTGCTGCTGCTGCTTCTCTGGGTTCCTGCATGAATGCAGTAGCGGGGATGAGGTGCACGGAATGACCACCATCGACACACGCCTTTCCCCACCCTCATTCTCCTTCGTCCCTGCTCTTTCCGCTTGTTCCTTCCCTCCTGTCCCTTCTTCCAGTGCAATTGCAGCCGCACCTGCTGTCTTAGGTCCCTCCTCCCCATCCTTTCGTTTCCAAGCTGGCCCTTTCATTGGCTCCTCTTTAACCTCCTCCTTCCCTGCAGAATCTTCAGCCAAACCTTTCTTTCCCTTTTCATTTGCCTTGTCCTCATCCGTCGCTCCCACCCCTCCCGCTCCCTCTCCCTCTGTGGCTTTCTTTACAGCAGGCATTGCTACCAGCAGCTCCTGAAGAACCTTCGCAGAAGCTGCCACCTGCCGCCTCACCCAAAAACCCGACCAAGGAAATCTCTCACGTGGCAATCCCGTACATGCTTCTTCCACTCCCCTCCCATGCCCCTGTAACAGTAAGGCTGTAGTGGCAGCAGTACCAGGTAGGGCTGTAGCAGCAGCAGCAGCAGTTGTAGCATCACCAGACAAAGCTGTAGCAGCAGTTATAGCGGCAGTTGCAGCAGCACCTGGTAAAGGTGCAGCATCACCAGATAAAGCTGTAGCAGCAGTGGTAGCAGCAGCTGCGAGCTCCACTGTCTGTGACCGGGCCACTGCTGCCAGCACGAGTGCTACAGCCGCTGTGGGGTTGTTGTCACACGCATGGTCTATGGATGCACAGGCAGCAGTGACCTGGGGTAGAGAAGGTGCGGGGGACAGGGGGGAAGGGGGAGAGGAGAGGGAGCCAGCCAGGGGAGTAAGGGAGGGGGGTTGGGTTGACTCAAAAGCCGCTGCAGGGTTGCTGTCACACGCAGGGTCGATGGCCGAACAGGCAGCGACGACCTGAGGTAAAGGGCCGGAGTTTGGAAGGGAGGAGGGAGGAGGATGGGTGCGAGATGGATGTTCGGGGAAACGGGGAAAGGCACGCACAAATGCTCACAATGATTGGCTCGGTCTGGCCGCCTACACAGAGACTTTTGTGATGCTGCAAAGTTCAAAACAGGCCCTTGAATGACAATGGCTGGTGGGATGGGGAACACCATTCAAAAGGCCTTTAGTTGGCTGGGTGGATGAATGGGTGGAGTGAGTGGAGATACCTTCTTGGCAAAGGCTGGGAGGACGGCAGCAGGGAAGGAGAGGAAGGGGTCCCCTCGACGTGCAGCAGCTGTGAAGTGTGGCCGCAGAGGGATGATCCAGGGGGCTTTCTGGAGGAAGGGGGGCAGCGAGAGGGAGAGGCGGATAGACGGAGAGGCAGGGAGATGAAAACATGTGCCAGCCGGACGTGCAGCAGCTGTGAAGTGCGGCCGCAGAGGGATGATCCAGGGGGCTTTCTGGAGGAAGGGGGGCACGGCGACGGAAAGATGAAACGGAGAGATAGGAGCATAGAATGGTGGGTGATGGTGGTGCTGCTGCTGGTGCTGGTGCTGGTGCTGGTGCTGGTGGATTGAGTGAGGGAGTTAAGGGGAATACGAGAGATAGAATAGCGTGAGACAAGAAAAATGGGGATAAAATGGCGCGAGAGCCGTACAGCTTTGAGAAAGGCAACAAGGCGGATGACGTCAGCCATTCTCCGCTCACCTCATCCGCGAAACAGTCCTCCAGCTGGCGAATGAGCTTCTGCCACGTGTCATCCGGATTCGGCTGCCTGGCTTCTCCGTCTGCACGCTGACTCGTTACTACCGTCGCTGCGTCGCTCATCGCGGTTCGTCAGTGTAAAAGCCTATTGAGAGTTATTGTATCATCGAACTCGAATTCTAAACACCTGTTTCCGCCTGCACAGGCGGTGACACGCGACCACCTTCCTAGGCACGCGGTTACTACCTATCTACGCGGTTCTTCGGATGCAATTCTCCGCGCGTTCTCGCGCTTTTCTCCCCTTTCTTTTCCAAAATCACAAGAGCACCCACCGTTCTAAACAGTCGTAAAACCCATGTGCGCCGTACTAATCACGCCGTAGAAATTGAGGAGAAACGGCCTGAATTGCCTTCAAGAATGTCCTTGCAACGGAATCGAAAGCCGCTAGCCGGAATTGCTAGAGCAAGTGTGTGTGATTGCAACGGGAGCAAGTTGATCACTGAATCCTGACCTGATCCTTCAACCTCGAGATTGACGAGGAGGAAGTCAACATTTGATACCCGATATGCCAACATTCGACAGAGAGATTTGCGAAACTTACCGTAAGGGTCATCTGCAGTGTGCCTTCAGTGGAGACGAGAATGTAACTTATGCTCTCATTTCACGACAGTAAACAATTTGTAGAACTACAAACGGCTATAAAAGCTTCTAGCGAATCTAGAAGCTGTTTTCACATCATGAACACATGCAAATCCCGCTCTACAATTTTCCCTCACCGTCAAAATTGGTTCTGTGAAAAGGATCCTACCTAGCCAAAGCTGTTTGCTAACAGGTTGGCTGAATGAAAAAATGGCTCCGATGGATTGGCTGCTATTGGTTGGAAGGCATGTTGCCGAATGATGCTAGGCCAGTGGACGGTGCAGATTGATCGATAGATGACGACGTGGGATTTGACGTGCTTCTTATAATCCCTGAAATGAAGAGAAGAGAGAAGGGGTAAGAGGGAGAGAAGGATTGAGGTAAGGCCCAGCGGAGCAGAAGATGAAGTGATGGTGAGATGGGTGTGGGAGGAAGAAAGGTTGAAAGCGTGGTAACATGAGGGGTGGTAACATGAGGGTGGCAGCAGCGTGGAAAAGCATTGGAACGTTACAGAGGAATTGTTCGGATGAACCTTGAGAGCACATTACAGTCACTTTGTGTGATGATCAGAAGTGATCCAGTAAGGAAATCATTTGAATGGCACAGAGATAGAGAGGCCGAGAAGGAGAGAAACTGGGAGGAGAAAGAAATGGTTCGTGCTTTTGGGATGCTGAAGAGACAAGCTGCGTAGATGAGAAGGTGGGCAGTAAAAACATACTGAAATATGCACCTTCATCACATGTCAGGAGTATAATAGGATTAGATTACTACCGCAGAGATTAGGAATCATAGAAATAAGGGGTGTACTCACCTGAGACATTTGAGATGGTCGTGGGATTCTTCTGGGCAGAAAAAGCTTTCAGCTGCCCCCCTGCCACGCCTGTGAGCAAAGTTCTAAAGGCTGCCCGCTGCTCCTTTGCACTACCCGTACTCTTTAGGGCTGCTTCAAAGGAAGCAAGGGCCTCTGGTGGAATGGAGAGAGAAAGGAGCACCTGGGGGGTAAAGGGGAAGGGGGAAGAGGAAGGGGAGATGGGAGAGGCATGTGGATATATCGGACATGAGGAGATTCAGGTGAGTGTCAGGATTGAGTGAGAAAGGGAGTGAGAAGTGAAGTCTGAAATTGCAAGGAGACGAGGAAGGAAGTGTGGTATAAGTTGCATGAGAGCAGAAGAATTTAGGTGCTACAGTGTAGCATACCTCTCTAGGAGCAGAGGTCAAAGGACCCAGTCGAAGGTAAATATCCTTCAATAATGCCACAATATGCGCCTGAATCCCAGCATTAGACTCCAGCGTCAGCGCCTGCACCGCTGCTGCGAACATGGTCCGGCCGACCATCTCCCGAAGCTGCGCGGGAGGCTCGGAAGCCGGGGCGGCAGGCTCGGCGAGGAGCTCCGGCATGTGCACTAGGCCTGAGTTGAAGAGAACAGCCTTGTGAGAGGCATCGCTGTCGGGCCAATCCATTGCTGCCATTGCCACTCTGATGCACGCTGCTGCTGCCTCTGGGTGGTGCTGTAAGAGGAAGCTGTGTGGGGTGGGGGATGGAGAAGTAAGGGGGTTATGGAAGGAAAGGGAGAGGCATCACTGTCGGGCCAGTCCATTGCTGCCATTGCCACCCTGATGCACGCTGCTGCTGCCTCTGGGTGGTGCTGTAGCAGGAAGCTGTGTGGGGAAGAGGGTAAGAAAGGCCGAGGAGGACAGGAAGAAGAACGGTCAAGAAAAGGAGGAAAGGCCGGAGGCATGTGCACGAGGCCTGAGTTGCAGAGGACAGCCTTGTGAGAGGCATCGCTGTCGGGCCAGTCCATCGCTGCCATGGCCACTCTGATGGACGCTGCTGCTGCCTCGGGGTGGTGCTGCAAGTGGAAGCTGCATGGGGTGGAGAGGGGGGGGGGTGTGGAGGAAAAAAGGAGAGGCATCACTGTCAGACCAGTCCATTGCTCCCATGGCTAAAAAGAGGAACAGGGTAAGAGGAATGGGGAAAGAAAAAGAAAGTTGTTTAGAGGGCTATTTCGGTTTGATTCAGATGAGAAGAACGGGAGGCAGAGCCATGCAGCAATAGCAAGGAGGAGAGTGCAGGTTTGGAAGTGAAGAGGTACAATTGCAGCAAACTTGGGACTCGTCTCAAAACTCACTGTAACAAGCTGTTAGCAGCAGTTGCCACCGAATGCATGTCCATCCGGTCGTCACCACCAGCACCAGCAACAGCACCACCCGCAATGCCACCACCACCTTGCCACAGACCCAACTTACTGCAGTAAGCTGTTAGCCGCGGTTGCCACTGAATGCATGTCCATCCGGTCGTCACCACCGGCACCAGCAGCACCAGCAGCACCAGTAGTAATGCCACCACCAGTGACACCAGCCATGAGCGCAGAAGCCGTGGCTTGAATCGAGACAGCTTGTAACGAGGACGACTGAGGCAAGACAGGGAAGAGAGCCAACAGGCCGCATGTCTCCCTTGTGAGGTCCCTTAGTATTTTCTCGTGGAACAACTCATCTTTTAGCCCTCCTCTCCTCTCCCTCTCACTCTCACTCTCACCACCCCCACTCACTCCAGCAGCAGTTGCTTTCCCCCCTGCCGCCTCCCCTCCCCCTCCTCCCCCACACAGGCCTTCTTGTAGGAATCTCTGCCACGTGGCAGTCAGCCATTGGTCGCAGTGAATCAGGATCGGCGGCAGGAGCGTGCCGAGCCACAGCGGCCAGAGGCTCGGCGGACAGGCTTTGACCAATGGGAGCAGGACGAGCTTCTGCAGCAGTCGCAGGTGCCGAGCCTCCATGCTAGCCACGGAATCGGCCAGTGCGGCCCGAACCTCCAGCACTAACTGCTGCTGCTGGGGTGAGACCGAACCTAAGGATTGCAGGTTCGGGACGGGAGGCTCGGGAAGGGAGAAGAAGGCTGCTGGCGCGTTTGCTGCTGCCATGCCAAGGAAGCCGTAACTGTTGGGAGGACAGATTGAGGGCGTAGGAGGATGACGATAAAGAAAAAAATAAGAATGAGAGCCGACTCTCTGTCGACTGGAAAGCAGAGAGTTTGCTCTGACTCATCAACTCCACGAAACAAAGCAGGAAAGCTACAGATAGGATAAACTGTTTGGCCTTTTGGTGGGGGGAAGGGGGAGCAAAGCTTGCTTGCACAAACAATCCACCCACCTGTTATCCCGCACACACTTGAGCCAATTCCGCCTCATGGCCAAAGCAGCAGCCTCCCGCTGCCACTCCCCCACTCCTCCCCCTCCGGCTCCGCTTCCCCATGCTCCCCCTCCTCCCGCGGTTCCCCCCAGCGGCAGCGGCACGCCCTCCTGCTTGCCTGACACGCCTGCCTGCCCCAGCACTGCTGCCTTCTCCTGCTGCCCCACCAGCAGCGCTGGTGCGAGCGCGGGGGGGAGGGAGGCGAGCACCTGGGGTGACCAGAGGGCGTGCAGGCAGTGCAGTAGCTGTGGGGGGAGGGGGGGAGGGATGGAGTGGAAAGTAGGAATGCTTCAGGGTTAAACACGCCACTGGGAGGTTAACTGCAACCCTTCCTTTCTCTTGCAGCGCCTCACAGCAGCTCTTGAAATGCCTCAAAACTCTTGCAACGCCTCACAAACTCTTGACACGCCTCAGAGTGCAACCCTTCCTTCCTCTTTCAGCAAGATCGGTTAGATACTGTTTGCGCCCCTTCTCGTCTCCTGATGAGGTGAGACGGATAACCCTTGAGATGCACGTCTAGGGTCACCCACACCCACACACGCCCTTTCTCTTCCCCCAACTTCCCCACTCACTCTCAGCAGAGGCGGCACGATCCAGTGCAGGTGCGGACTCACACAGTGCACCGCCCCTCCCCCTCCCCCTCCCCCTCCACTCACCCCCCTCTCCCCCCCAACCCCATCCGCCACCCCCACAACCCCAGGGGAAGGCGGCGGCGTCGCCGCCACCCCCCCCCCTCCCGCTCCCCCTCCCCCTCCACCCGCTCCCCCTCCCCCACCACTCCCCCCGCCAGCAGCAGCGCGGCGCATGATTCTTTCCAGCAGCATGGTGGTGTGGTAGACGGCCCAGCAGTCCGCCTCCTCCTGGGAGCCAGAGCCGGGGGAGTGCAGGAGGAGTGCTGCCAGGGCTGCCGGGGAGGAGAGGTAGCGAGCCTGCCACGTGGCGTCCGCCCATTGGACGCGGATGGGTGCGAGCAGCCACTCCACCACGGCTGCTTCTTCACTGGGTCTGCTCTGGTGAGGAGGGGGGGAGTGTGGGGGAGGAGAGGGGAGAGGCGGGGGGAAGAGGGGAGGGGAGCTTTGGCGACAGAAGGCGATTCTACTTTTGAGCTGATTCGCTCGAGCAGCATGGTGGTGTGGTAGACAGCCCAGCAGTCCGCCTCCTCCTGGGAGCCAGAGCCGGGGGAGTGCAGGAGGAGTGCTGCCAGGGCTGCCGGGGAGGAGAGGTAGCGCGCCTGCCACGTGGCGTCCGCCCATTGGACGCGGATGGGCGCTAGCAGCCATTCGACCACTGCTGCCTCTTCACTGGGGCTGCGCTGGTGGGAAGGTGGGGGGGAGTGTGGGGGAGGAGGGGAGTGGAGTGGGGAGAGGGAGGAGGGGGGGGAGTGGGGAGCGGGAGGAGGGGAGTGGAGTGTGGGGAAGAGGATGGGGAAGAATTTTGAGTTGTCTGAGTCCATTTCAGTGGGCGCTAGCACCCACTCAGCTACAGCTGCTTATTTGCTGGAGATGCGCTGCTGAGGAGGTTGGTGAGTGAAGTGAAGGGGAGGAGAGAGGGGGAGAGCATTTTGAGTAAGAAGGGGTGGTACGCAGACGGCGGGGGAAAAGGCATTTCGACTTGTGGTGGTATGTATGTACGAAGGGCACTCCACTCCAGAACGGCTGACACCCAACATGGGCTGTGCTGGTATGTACGAAGGGAATGGAGATGAGACGCTAGGAGAGGGCGGGGGTGTGAACTTTTGAGACGTCTCAAAAGTACAAAGGGAATGGAGATGAGAGGCTAGGAGAGGGGGATGGGGTGTGAAGACGGGGAAGTGGTCACTCCCTCCCCACTCCCTAACTCCTTACCTCACCTCAATCAATCACTCCCTCACTCCCTCACTCCGCCACTCCACCACTCCCTCACTCTCTCACTCACGCACTCGCTCACTCCCTCAATCACTTACCCTGCAGCAGCAGCCACCAGCAGCAGCGCTTCAGCGAGCAGAATGATCTCCCCATGCAGCACTGCGCCTGACTGCGTCTGCTGAATGCACTGCAGTGCTCTTGACACTCACTCCCACACTCCCCCCCTCACTCACCCTGCAGCAGCAGCCACCATCAACAGCGCCTCAGCGAGCAGAATGATCTCCCCATGCAGCACCGCGCCTGACTGGTTCTGCTGCACGCGCTGCACTGCTCTTGCATCTCACTCCCGCACTCACTTACCCACTCATTCCTACTCACTCACACCCTCACACCCTCACTCACTCACCCTGCAGCAGCAGCCACCATCAACAATGCTTCAGCGAGCAGAATGATCTCCCCATGCAGCACTGCGCCTGACTGGTTCTGCTGCACACGCTGCACTGCCGTCTGCTGCTGCTGCCGAATGTTCATCACCTGATCTACCATCGCCTGGAGAGAAGTTAGGGAGGGGGAGCGGGGTGGGTAAAGGATGGAGTGGGTGGAAGGAAAAGAGGCAATCAAAACCTGACTGTGTTTGCTGCACGCGCTGCACTGCCGCCTGCTGCTGCTGCCGAATGCCCATCACCTGATCCACCATCGCCTGGAGAGGAGAAAGGGGGAAATAAGGGGGGCAGGGGAAGGGCACGAGTTGTAATGCGCTGCACGCGCTGCACTGCTGCCTGCTGCTGCCGCCGAATGTTCATCACCTGATCCACCATCGCCTGGAGGAGAAAGGATGGGAGAGGGGTGGGGCACGGGGGGTAAGGGAACAGATTGTGAGGCGTCTGAGAATTTGATTGCCCCAGCTGCACTGCCGCCTGCTGCTGCTGCCGAATGTTCATCACCTGATCTACCATTGAATTAAAAGGAGGATGGGGAGGGAGGGGAGGAAAGGTAAACCTACAAATTCTGAGACGTCTCGAAACCTGACCGATTCAAGAATGCAACAGAAGCCACCGACCCTCCCCCACACACCCACACACACACACACACACACACACACACACACACACACACACACAAAGACTGCATGGCCCACCTTGAGCATAGGGACAAGGGCCACGTCAGCAGAGCGCGCCACTCTGAGGATGGACGTGCACACTTGCAGGCGAGGCAGGCAAGCGGTCCTCTCCTCCCTGCCTTGAAGGAACTACGCAGACACCGAGTGTGACACGCATGGCCCACCTTGAGCATGGGCACGAGTGCCACATCAGCAGAGCGCGCCACACGGAGGATGGACGTGCACACTTGCAGGCGAGGCAGGCGGTCGTCACTGCGCTCTGGGCGCAGCATGGGCTCTACTCCCTGGTGGGGCGAGGGGCGAGGGGCGCGAGGAGGGGAGCAGACAGGCAGATGGGGTAGTTACTCAAAATGACTTCACTGCAGGCGAGGCAGGCGGTCGTCACTGCGCTCTGGGCGCAGCATGGGCTCCACTCCCTGGTGGGGTTGGGGAAGGGGAGGCGGGCAGGGGGATGGGGAGGGGCAGGGAGGCGAGAGGGGGCAGAGAGAGGGAGAGGTGATACAAGAGTGTCCTCACTGCGCTCAGGGCGCAGCATGGGCTCCACTCCCTGGCGGGGCGAGGGGGGAGGGGCGAGGAGAGGGCGAGGGAGGGACGGGGGAGGGAGGACAAGGGACAGTCGTGAGTTGACTGGCCCAACAGTGTCCTCACTGCGTTCTGGGCGGAGCATGGGCTCCACTCCCTGGCGGGGCGAGGGGGGAGGGACACGAGGGGAGAGAGGGGGACGGGCACGAGGAGAGAGTGGGGGAGAGAGAGGTGACTCTTCTTGCGGGCGAGGCAGGCGGTCCTCACTGCGCTCTGGCCGGAGCATGGGCTCCACTCCCTGGCGGGGTTGGGGAAGGGGGAGAGGGGCAGGTGAGACACGAGGGGGGACAGGAGGGGGAGAGGTGACTCTTCTTGCAGGCGAGGCAGGCGGTCCTCACTGCGCTCTGGCCGGAGCATGGGCTCCACTCCCTGGCGGGGTTGGGGAAGGGGGAGAGGGGCAGGGGAGACACGAGGGGGGACAGGAGGGGGAGAGGTGACTCTTCTTGCAGGCGAGGCAGGCGGTCCTCACTGCGCTCTGGCCGGAGCATGGGCTCCACAGCCTGAAGGAGGGAAAAAAAGGGAGGGAGAATTAGGGCGGGAGAATAATGGACATTCTTGGATCGACTTATAAATGACCTCTCTGCGCACTGGCCGGAGCATCGGCTCCATGTCCTGGAGGGGAGAGGGGATGAGAAGGGAGAGAAAAGGAGAACAAGGGGATGGCTTACGCTAAGACGTCTCACAAATAAAAAAGTTGAAGTGTGATTTTCGTTAGGATTCCCCATTCACAATTCATTCTCATTTTCTCACTTATTGACAAAAGCGAGAGCTAAACGTGGAATGTAAAGACCCCTCAATACCCGTTCTTCAGATACAACAAAAAACAACCACCAGGGGAGTGGGCGGCAGGGAGCCGAGGAGTTCAAAGAGCTTGGAATGACGAGGGCAGCAGCAGGCAGGGAGTGCTTGAGGAAGGGGCACAGTGTGGTGACTGGGACCAACTTATTATACTCACCAGGGGAGTGGGCGGCAGGGAGCTGAGGAGCTCAAACAGCTTGGGAATGATGAACGCAGCAACGGGCGAAAGGAGTGCTCGAGGACGGGTCAGAGAGTGATGACTTCAAGTCTAAACAGAAAACACCCACCAGGGGAGTGGGCGGCAGGGAGCTGAGGAGGTCAAACAGCTTGGGAATGACGAGCGCAGCAGCGGGCGGCGAGTGCTTGAGGAAGGGACCCAACGCGTCCAGCAGGTGTGCGTGCAGCTCTATCAGCACAGGGTCGCTCCACTGCACACACAGCAGGCGCTGTAGCACACCTGGGAGATGGGGGAATGGGGAAGAATGGTGGGGATGGGTGGGAGCGAAGAGAGGGGAAGGGAGGGATACGGGGGAGTGCTTGAGGAAGGGGCCCAGGGCGTGCAGCAGGTGTGCGTGCAGCTCTATCAGCACGGGGTCATGCCATTGCACACACAGCAGACGCTTTAACACTCCTATGGGTGAAAGCAAAGACAGGGGAAGAGGGGAGGGGAGGGGAGTGCTTGAGGAAGGTGCCTAGCCGGTCTAGGCGTCCAGCAGGTGTGCGTGCAGCTCTATCAGCACGGGGTCATGCCATTGCACACACAGCAGACGCTGTAACACTCCTGTGGGTGAAAGCTAAGACAGGGGAAGAGGGGAGGGGAGGGGAGTGCTTGAGGAAGGTGCCTAGCCGGTCTAGGCGTCCAGCAGGTGTGCGTGCAGCTCTATCAGCACGGGGTCATGCCATTGCACACACAGCAGACGCTGTAACACGCCTGGAGGAAGCAGTGAGGATGGAAAGCAAAGAGAGGCGGAAGGGTGTTAGAGGAAGGGACCCAGGGCGTCCAGCAGGTGTGCGTGCAGCTCTATCAACACGGGGTCATGCCATTGCACACACAGCAGACGCTGTAACACTCCTGTGGGTGAAAGCAAAGACAGGGGAAGAGGGGAGGGGAGGGGAGTGCTTGAGGAAGGTGCCTAGCCGGTCTAGGCGTCCAGCAGGTGTGCGTGCAGCTCTATCAGCACGGGGTCATGCCATTGCACACACAGCAGACGCTGTAACACGCCTGGAGGAAGCAGTGAGGATGGAAAGCAAAGAGAGGCGGAAGGGTGTTAGAGGAAGGGACCCAGGGCGTCCAGCAGGTGTGCGTGCAGCTCTATCAACACGGGGTCATGCCACTGCACACACAGCAGGCGCTGTAACACGCCTGGACGAGGCAGCAGGGAGAAAGCAAAAGAATCAGGGTTTGGAATAGTGGCTTTATGGACAGTGGGAGAAAGCGAAGGAATCAGGGTTTAGAATAGTGGCATTATGGACAGTGGGAAAATAGCAAACGGGATCAGGGTCCAAGCAGTGGCTCTATGGACAGGGTTACACCAGTGCAACCCAGTCCACCCCATCCCACTCCAGGCACACACAGCACGGCACAGCACAGCTGCTGTTGCAGCACACCGGGAGGGAAGACCCAGTGAGGGACCAGCGCTGGTGCTTGTGGCAGGGACGAGCACCAGGGTTTCTTGTATTGTACTGCTGCCACAAGCGCAAGCTGCCCCTCCCATCTCACATACTCGTTACAAGCGGCCCCACTCACCTTCCACAATGAGCCCAAGGTCGTCAGCAAGGATGGCAGGGTTGGTGGAGTGAGCAGCAGCTGCTGCCACAAGCATGAGATAACACCCTCACACACATCCCTCCCACATACTCGTTATTAGATGCCCCACTCACCTTCCACAATGAGCCCAAGGTCGTCAGCAAGGATGGCAGGGTTGGTGGAGTGAGCAGCAGCTGCTGCCATGACAGCATCGGGCACAGCAGTCATCACTGCATCCTCCAGCATCCGCGCTCCCTCCAACACCGCTACAACCTGATTGGTTGGGAGGGAGTGGGGACATGTGTGGGTAAGGTGAGCAGCAGCTGCTTCCATAGACAGCATCGGGCACAGCAGTCATCACTGCATCCTCCAGCATCCGCGCTCCCTCCAACACTGCCACCACCTGATGGGAAAGCGGGGAGAAAGAGGGGAGACGGGGTGTTTGAAATGACAGCATCGGGCACGGCAGACTCACCGCATCTTCTAGCATGCGTGCTCCCTCCAACACCGCTACAACCTGATGGAGAAGGACGGAAAGTAGGGTGTTGGACCTCATGTCGGTTGAGTGTGCCTTCATGCCCAGCTGCTGCCATGACAGCATCGGGCACAGCAGTCATCACTGCATCCTCCAGCATCCGCGCTCCCTCCAACACCGCTACAACCTGATGGGTGGAGAAAGGGGGGAAGTTAAGGTGTTTGGCCTCATGTCGGTTGACATGTATACATGTAACATGTATGCCCAGCTCCTGCCATGACAGCATCGGGCACAGCAGTCATCACTGCGTCTTCTAGCATCCGCGCTCCCTCCAGTACTGCCACCACCTGATGGGAGCGGCAAAAGGTGTTTGGGCCCATTTAAGTTGAGCATACATGCTGCGATGACAGCATCGGGAGCAGCAGCCATCACTGCGATGCGAGAGGCCACCTTGGATGCTGCTATGAGCGGCTGCTGCCACACACATGCCCCATGTGTGTCCCGCGCCCCATGCCCCGTGCTTCATGCCCCGTGCGCATGCCCCGTGGCCCATGTATATACCATATCCCATGCCCCGTGCCCCATCCTACATCCCCCACGGCTTGCCTTGGGTGGCGGGGGAGCGGAGGTGGCAGCAGCAACAGCGGCTTCGATGCGAGAGGCCACCTTGGATGCTGCTATCAGCGGCTGCTGCTGTGTCACCAAACGAATCACGTCCATCTGACAAAGGATCGAGGGGAAGAAATTGTCGGGAACAGGAAGAGGGGACGGAAGCCGAGTAAGACAGGTGGGGAAAGAACCCTGGGAGGAAGGGAGGGAGGGGCTGCTATGAGCGGCTGCTGCTGAGTCATATTACCTAACTCAATTCAATCTCTCACCTAATCCCACAAGCGCACACACTCTCACACACACACACACCAGTCGGCTCCTGTACTGGGCATAGTCCCCACTGTTGGTAAACTCCTCCTGCCACCCCTCTCCATCCGCCTCCTCCCCTGCCTCCCCCTCCCCCGGGCGTCTAGGCAGATGATCCGCCACCACATCTAGCAGCCTCAGGCAGCAATCAGGCAGCAATCACACTTCCCATATTGAGGCGCCTCAAAAGCAATCACACTTCCTTGTTTGACTTGCTTCTCTTTCAATCACCAGACGACTTCCGCCTGTCAGTTTCATGACTCACCAGTCGGCTCCTGTATTGGGCGTAATCCCCACTGTTGGTGAACTCCTCCTGCCACCCCTCCCCATCCTCCTCCTCCCCCTCCCCCTCGCCTGGCCGCCTAGGCAAGTGATCCGCCACCACGTCCAGCAGCCTCAGGCAGAAGTCGGGCGGCACGAGAATCACTGCGGCGCGCTTGTCCTTGGCTCCGCTCGTGCTCTGTGCCGACTCCCTCAGCAACACCTGGGGGAGTGGGAACGGAGATTTGGTGGGGGAAAGGGGAGGCGGGGAGGGGTGGGGGGGAGGGGAGGTGGGATGAGTTACCTAGATCCAAGTGAATCTAGATATAACTAGGAGGCAGTGAAGCAAGACAAAGGTAGGTGCGTGCTAAGTGTTTGCTAAGTGTGCTAAGCGTGGGATGCTTACCTGCCAGAGTTGCAGCGCCAGGGCGTGCAAGGAGAAGCACTTGCACTCAAAGAAGCGAAGCATCTGCAGGCATGAGATTGGAGGGGCAGCAGGAGGCAGGAGAGGAGGAGAGGGTGGGAGAAGAGAAGTGATAAGCACAGAGAAGGTGAGGAGGATTGGAAACATCAATGAAACCGCTTTCGGAAATAAGAAGCAAGAGATGCCACACCTTGATTTGGGAGTAATCAAATATTGAGAATGGGTTTTTGGTTTCTTTCTTTCACTCCACAAAGTGTTTCCGTGTCGTCTAAATGCCACACATCGCATTACTCACTTATCATGTGAAAAGAAAAAGAAAAAGAAAGAAGGCATGAAAAAAAAAAAAAAAAAAAAAAAAACAAGAACAAAAGAAAGAAAGACAGAAATAAAAAACAAAAACAAAACAAAAAAAACAAGAAAAAACCTCACTGTGTGGAAGAACTAGGCGTATCTGGAATCATCCTGCTGAGCAGCTCTCTTGAGATTCGACGGCGCAAACGCCACCATCGCCTCACACAGCCGCTCCGCAAACCCCACCTCCCCCTCATCCACCTCCCCCGCCCCGCCTCCCTCCTCCCCTTGCTTCCCCCTTCCTCCCATCGCTTCCCCCCCCCCTGGTGCCTTTGCTATCTAGAAAACACTCACTCACCGTGCGGGATGAAACATCATACCACCAGAAAGAACCCACCGTGTGGAAGAACTTGGCGTATCTGGAATCATCCTGCTGAGCAGCTCTCTTGAGATTCGATGGCGCAAACGCCACCATCGCCTCACACAGCCGCTCTGCAAACCCCACCTCCCCCTCATCCACCTCCCCCGCCCCCCCTCCTCCCCTCGCTCCCCCTCCTGCTGCCATCCCCCCCGCCTGACCCCCTGCTTCCCTTGGAGAGGAAGCAGGGGCGGTGCCTGTAGAGGCGGTGATGCGATCGAGAGAGGCGTCAGCAGCAGACACTAGAGAATCTGCGACTGATGTCATGGCGGCGTTGAATGCCTCCTGGTCGTCTGAAGGGGCTCGCCTGAAGAAGATTGGCAGCAGGGGAACGGGCAGACGGCAAGGGGGAGAGTGGCTGAGATGAGAACTCCAAAAAAAAAACCTTTCAATCCCCAACCGTTCAAGTTTCAATCACAAAGATCCAACCTAACCTAACAACGACAGCCAATCAACCTTGGTGAAGCCTCAATTACAGACCGTGAGGACTCGACCCTCCACCACCCACCGTGTGTCTCAAACCATAGCCACACACATCATTACAGCCCTAGAAATCGCCCGTCACAGGCCCCCCCCAACCATTCGCGCACCAGTGACCGACCCTCCTCTCTCCTCCACCACACCAACCTTATTTTCAATTCTTATCCATCATCCACCCACCTGGCCGCTAGGTGTTTGAAAAAGTCTGCCGCTCCCATTCGGAAATCAGGCGAGCCGAGGAGGAAACCGCAGCTGGAGGGGAGGGAAGGGAAAGAGGGAAACACTTCAGAACCATAAACCCTAAAAACTCACGCATTCAGCAAGCCAGCACAGGCGCCCACACTGCACACACGGTCCCAGCGCTGCCAAACCACAGACTCAAACACCCACCTATCTATGTATAAACCCTGAAACCCTGCAACCCCCAAACCCAAGAGCTCACGCATTCGGTAAGCCAGCGGAGGCAAGAGAAGGCACAGGCGCCCTCTCTGCATACGCCCTCCGCGTTTTCCCTCACTCCCCCTGTCACAATAACGTCCACCCTAACACCCGTAAACCTTAAACCCTAAAGCTCACGCATTTAGAAATCCAGCGGATCCAATCGCAGGTACAGGCGCCCACTCCGCATACGCTCCCAGCGCTGCCAGGCCCGCTGTCACCTGGGCATCCACTCTCAATATATCAACCCTAACTCACGCATTCAGCAAGCCAGCGGACGCAATTGCAGGCACAGGCGCCCACTCCGCATATGCCCCCAGTGCTGCCAGGCCCGCTGTCACGGCTGCTGCATGCTGCCTTGCTGCATCCACGTTGCTCTGCTGTATGTCTGCAAGCGCTGCTGCGAAGTTAGAGTCCAGAAGCTGAGATGGGGGAAAGGGGAAAATAACAGGTGGGGTGGGGGGTGCTCGAGTCCCACCCACGTTGCTCTGCTTGTCTGCCTGCCAGCGCTGCTGCGAAGTTGGAGTCCAAAAGCTGAGATGCGGGAAAGGGGAAAATACAGGTGGGGTGGGGGTGTTCGAGTCCCACGTGGCTCTGCTGCATGTCTGCCAGTGCTGCTGAGAAGTTAGAGTCAAGAAGCCGAGGACAAAGGCAAGGGGGTCGATGGATTATTATAATGCCTAGCCTAGGGATGAGCCTAGGGATGAGCCTAGGGATGAGCGGACGAGCGCAACATCAGGAACGAATGCAAAGCGTGTACAGTAGGACAGCAATTGAAGAGAAAAAAACAAATGAAAGGGGGATGGAAGTGAAATTTCTAGGGGAAAGTAGAGAAAGCACGGACCGAGTAGAGGAAGGGGAGGATCTGCGGTAGCGTGGCTGTGAGACCGAGCAACAGCTGACGCCTCTTGTTGCCTGGTGGTGGGACAAGTTTTGGGTTTCAGGGTGGTGGTGGGAGTTCAGTGCCAGGATGGTGATGGTTGATGAAGGGATGATGGTGGCAGGGAAACAGAGGAAGGGCGTGGGACAGGGGCAATGGACGATGGTACAAACAACCTCATTCCAAGGGCAACACGGATGACATGACAAGAGCTGAGAACGAAAGGGGGGCATGGCATGCTCCTCCTGCAGTGAAGTGAACGAAGCGCAGAATAGCATGGCATGGCATGGCATGGCATGGCATGGCATGGCTGCACACTTACTTTCTACATTTTCTCTGTATAAAATCCGCGTGATACTTAATAGTCGAGTTTTGAGACGTCTACAAACTCGAAAGGGCATGGCTGCACAGTAACTTTCTATACCCACATTAATTATCAACTGCCACCTTCTACATCCTCGTTATAGAGAGTCACCTTCTATATCCTCGTTATGGACTGTCACGTCTTCTGGCACAAACTGCAGCACAAGAGCCACCGTCTCTGCCTGCCAGACAGGTGGTTCGGAGAGTTGGGTGTTGGGGCGGGGCGGGGGGGGAGGGGGGGGGGGTACAGTGTGTGTGTGTGGTGAGGGAGTTGAGGGGTGGGGGATGTGGGATGGGGGGTGTGGGGGGTGTGTGTGTGTGTGAAGGGGGGGGGAGGAGTGGGTGGGTGGAGGAGTGGGGACGAGTGCGAGGTAGCATCACAGATAAAGTGACAGAAAAAAAGAAGCGGCAGATACAACAGAGAATGTATTGACTCACGGAGTTGAACTTTCGAGCTCACTCTAGCGCCCTGAACTCCGCTTTTCTCGCAGACTTTTGAGTCGACTCAAAAGTCAGCTCGTTTCAATGTCACAGGGAAATTTCGAGCTCACTCTAGCGCCCTGAACTCCGCTATTCTCGCAGACTCGCACAGGGTGTATGTGTCTCACATGGATGGGGCTGGCAGCAGAGAGAGCAAGCAGAGACGGCAGCAACACTGGAATCACTCTAGTTCATATTCAAAGAGATTTCAGTACTCTGCTTGTCTCGCACAGCACAGGGTGTATGTAACTCACATGGATGGGGCTGGCGGCAGAGAGAGCAAGCAGAGACGGCAGCATCTCCTTCCACAGGTCTGACCCCTCGTGCTTCACAATCTGAGAGAGTAGGGAGAGGAAAGAAGGGGTTGAGTGAGGGAGATCAGAAGCAAGTGACAAAGCAAGCAGCGACGGCAGCATCTCCTTCCACAGGTCCGACCCCTCGTGCTTCACAATCTGAGAGAGTAGGGAGAGGAAAGAAGGGGTTGAGTGAGGGAGATCAGAAGCAAGTGACAAAGCAAGCAGCGACGGCAGCATCTCCTTCCACAGGTCCGACCCCTCGTGCTTCACAATCTGAGAGAGTAGGGAGAGGAAGACAAAGAAAAATCTGCTTGAATCGCACAGCAGAGGGTCTTCTCTTATTGATGGGGCTGGCGGCGGCAGAGAGGGTAAGCAGAGACGGCAGCATCTCGTTCCACAGGTCCGGCAGCAGCAGCACCAACAGCACCAACAGCACCACAAGAACAACTCACATCAGCCAGCAGCGCGGCAGCCTTGCTGCGGATGGACCAGGGCTCCCCAGCGGTGTCGGCGCAGCGCCTGAGCAGATCGAATGCATACACTGGACCAGCAAGATCACGGGCACAAGCACCAGCACGAACACCAGAAGCAGCAATAGCAGCAGCAGCACAGGAACAAGCGACTCACATCAGCCAGGAGTGCTGCCGCCTTGCTGCGGATGGACCAGGGCTCCCCAGCAATGTCGGCACAACGCCTGAGCAAGTCAAACGCGTACACTGCCAGCCTGCGCCGCTCGTCCGCGGGGAACTGCTGCCACTTGTTGCGCGCCACGTTCTTATAACGGGGATAGGGGGGCGAGAGGAGGGGGAGAAAGGAGGGGGAGCGGGGGGGGGAGGAAGGAAAGGAGAGTTTCCAATCTAAGTTAAATGGGTCATGGGTCATGGGTCATGGGTCATAGGTCATGGGCCATGGGTAATCGGTCATGTGTCATGGGTAATCGGTCATGTGTAATGGGTCATGGGTCATGGGTAACAAGGCAGCGGCATACCTGCAGCAGCTGGAAGGCGAAGAGGCGGGCATGCTCGGGCTGGTCGCCGTTCACCAGGTGAGCTGCTAGGGACGCCTGACGGTGCGGCTCCTCCTCTGTCTTGAGCTGTGTGAGGGGGAAATGGAGTAGAGGGGTTGAAGTGGTGGCAGGCAATGTGGTTAAGATGCAAGTGTTGCTCGACCAAGTGACCTGGCATGCTCGGGCTGATCGTTGTTCACCAGGTGGGCTGCTAGCGACGCCTGACAGTGCGGCTCCTCCTCTGTCTTGAGCTGCGTGCGTGGAAAGGGAGAATTCAGAGGTTAAAAGGTGGCAGGAAATGCGATAATAATGTGTGTGCTGCTAGCGACGCCTGGCGGTGCGGCTCCTCCTCTGTCTTGAGCTGCGTGCGTGGAAGGAGAGTTGGGAGGTTGAAGGGTGGCAGGAAATGTGGTTAGAATGCGTGCGCTGGAGAGAATGGGACACACGTGTCTTGGAGAGGAGACGTTTTACTATGCGGCTCCTCTGTCTTGAGCTGCGTGCGTGGAAAGAGAGTTCAGAGATACAAGGGGTGATAGGGAACGTGAGGTGGATTCGTGTGTTTCTGGCCCAAGTGATCCGGCCTAACCAAACCCTCTACTCTGGCTCGGCCCAAGCGATGGAAAGTCCGTGGCTATTGAGGAAGGAAGGAACGCATTGGCTGCGAAATAGCCAGAAGGACCTTCGGACCAGCAGTGCCCGTTATAGTCAGGATCTTCGGACATAGTATCAAGGAGCAGCACCGTCGGATGAGAAGGCTACAGTCAGGATCTGGTTACTCAGCAGGTAACTTTGAGTCAACTCAAAACGTCCGCGCCTGGTTACCCCGCGTCTATTTCTGAGCTTCCGGGAGAACTTTGAGTCAACTCAAAACGTCCACTGAACAGCAATGATCACCTTCTCGAGGAATTCCGTGGCCCCAGCACGAGACGCCTGATCCGTCCGCCAATCAACGGCGACCGCCAGGGCCTGCAGCACCGCCTGGAGCTCTGTCGCCTCGTCCATTGCCGTATCCCAGCTACAAGCCGACCCTTGTATAAACGTATGACAAATCGGCTGTATGCAAGTGCCCGCAGCACTGCCTAGCGCGCTACTGCTTCGCCCATTTCGTGTGTTACTAAATGATTTCGCAGTTCGCTATCACCACCCCGAACACGGCGTTATTTCCGCATTTCCTTATCCCCGGACCGAAAGCAGCCTTATTGCGAAATCATTCGGGTCTGACTCTGAGACAACGAACCGAATCCAGAATCTAATGCTAATTCCTCCGAGATTCAAACTGCCCCTGTGAAGTAAAAGCACTTGCAGACTTCGGCTGGCAAGGGCTGAGAGAATCACTAGCTTCCATCGAATCCTGCACCACTCACATCGCCCTGGCAATTTCTAGAACGCTGCTAATCCTCCATCAGACAGCACAACAGGCAGGAACCCTGAACCTGAATGCCTCGATTCTGCCGAATTTGTTCCTTGTTCATGAAAGTGTACCTTCGGCTTATAATACGTTTTAACGTTGTTGTATTTCCATGTTGTGTTTGAAGCACCTTGATAAAAAACGGAGAAAAATTCCTATCCAACAGGTTATAGGTAAAAAAATATTTTTTATATTGCAATAAGTAACATTTCTAACAAAAGTTGTCATCTATTGTTCATTTCACTAAGCGTAAGCTTTTTTATCCTTGATACTTATAGACGCGTAATGCTGGCATTTACCTGGAAACCCCGATTCATATCGGGCCTCGTTTAGAGAAGCTCGGATGGCGTGAAAGGGAGGGAAATTATACGCGCAGTCACAATTATGGCCGTATTATCACGTTTGGTCACGGGGTTATCACGGACAGTCACAGTACAGTACTTCGCTATCACGCATGATCACAGCGCTATCACGCTTGATCACTCCTCGCCCCGCAGGGTTATCACGTTTGGTCACTCGTTGAAACGCCCGCCAAAAAGTCGAAACTCTCAAATCTACTGTACAGATTCGGGTACTTTTATCTCGCGCGCGTTTTGTCTGTAGTGAAAAACGTGATGTGACTGTCGAAATATACTCGGTCCTTGTTAGGGACCGATGCAGTTTAATGCAGAGTCCGCATTTTGCAGTGAATATACGCGATCAATAGCAGTTTCGATTATATAATCACTCTTCTCTTTGTAATTGATACCTTGACATTATGTTTTGCACACGTAGTAATAAAAAACCCAATTAAACAATGTCATTTGCATATAAACCACCAGTCAATCTTGGATGTGAGTAGGCATACGATATGGTGAATTAAACAAGCTACAGGGAGGGAGGTATCAGAGGTAATTCTCCCTCTAGCGAGCGCTTGCCTGCAAGCTAACGTAAAGGGCAAGAGTTTACATTATATCATTTGATTGTTGCCTCTGTAAAATCTTGCCCTTTACGTTAGCTTGCAGGCAAGCGCTCGCTAGAGGGAGAATTACCTCTGATACCTCCCTCCCTGTAGCTTGTTTAATTCACCATATCGTATGCCTACTCAAATCCAAGATTGACTGGTGGTTCATATGCAAATGACATTGTGTAATTGGGTTATTACTGCATGTGCAAAACATAATGTCAAGGTATCAATTACAAAGAGAAGAGTGATTATATAATCGAAACTGCTATTGATCGCGTATATTCACTGCAAAATGCGGACTCTGCATTAAACTGCATCGGTCCCTAACAAGGACCGAGTATATTTCGACAGTCACATCACGTTTTTCACTACAGACAAAACGCGCGCGAGATAAAAGTACCCGAATCTGTACAGTAGATTTGAGAGTTTCGACTTTTTTGCGGGCGTTTCAACGAGTGACCAAACGTGATAACCCTGCGAGGCGAGGAGTGATCAAGCGTGATAGCGCTGTGATCATGCGTGATAGCGAAGTACTGTACTGTGACTGTCCGTGATAACCCCGTGACCAAACGTGATAATACGGCCATAATTGTGACTGCGCGTATAATTTCCCGTGAAAGGGAAGCAGCACAGGCTCCATAGCACTGCCATCAGACGTCGCCGTCAAGTTCGCCAACGTCGAAAGAACCGCCTGGACGTTCTCCTCTCTCTCGCTTCTCCCTATCCGTTTCGCTGTGATTGGTAGTTTTGCTCATGGCATGTCAAAACCCGTGTCGCCACGTCGTCATCTCACGCCTTCCATACCTAGCTCGAGGGTACAAGCCAATTCTGCCCGTTGGTCGCGGGATTTCTTGTTCAGGCTGTGGTGTTTCTCTCGGTTCGGGACAACCTTGAACTTGCCCGCGTCTGGTGACGTCAGTGAGTGGTCCCCTCACCGCATCAAAACCACCCTAATCCCGTGGGAAAACATCAATAACGAACGGGATATTCGCCCTCTAGCTGGCTGCTTCCAAGCCTGCAACCACCAGCAAAAACCAAGCCATCATACATATCAAACCAAATTTCCCAACCATAATCGTCCACCCGAACCGTGCGTCCTCGTTTGCCTCAGCCACACGAGCCGAGAGTGAGGGCAAACCGAAATGGAAGACGGTAAGGGATGAATGAGCATTGAGCAGAGCAGACGGACAGGGAAGGAACCCTCAGGCGGAAGAGAGTGCTGCATTGGGAGTTTCCCTTCCAGTTTGCCGCTTTCAAATTCAGGGCTCCAGCTTCAGCTCTCTGAGGCACTGGAGTGTGCTTCCAAGTGCTTTTGAGCATTTCTGTCTTCTTGCTTCCCCTTGTGAATCTGCGGTGTTCGTTTCTCTCTTAGCATTTTGCGACCGTAAATGAAGTAGAAAGATTTGACACTTGCAACGAAATTAGCGACGTCGCGTCATGGAGGCAGCAGTAGCGCGCTTACGGGAGCTGTTTCCGAAGGTGGACGTCAGGCTGCTGAAGGCGGCAATTCGCGAGCACGGCACGTCGCCGGAAGGCATGGACGAGGCCATTCAATACTTGATGGACGAAGCGTTTTCGGAATCCTCGTCTTCTGACGGAGATGTTTCTGACAAGGAGGACGATGTCGAGGATATTAATACGGTAAGTGATTTCTTTCCAGTGTGCTAGGGCGGCTTTATTTGTTCCGTTCTCCTCGTTCTCCCTACTATTCTGTTTCCTAGTGTATTTAAGCTGTCCCTACTATTCTGTTTCCTAGTGTATTTAAGCTGTAAGTCAATTTGGTTATTTCCCTTGCAGGCTTCTGCCGGGTTCGCACCCTTAGAAAGTGCTGATGGACACGAACCTTCGTCCCCCATGGACGAGAAGACTTTTGACGAGACCGCCAATAACGAGGATCCATCTGGCGAGGCCGTTAACGAGGAGTCATTTTTCGAAGCCGAGGAGAATCTCCCCGCGTCAAGAGCTCCTCTGCAAGATTCAGCGGCCTCCAGCGACGACAGGATAATTCCCGGCTTATCAGAAACACCGGTGATGACGGTTCCGCCAGCTTCCTCAATCTTGTACAGTGAAAATAATGTTGAGGAGGATGGAGAGGTACACGATGAGCAGGACCTTCCCGCCGTTGACGCCGCTGGCCAAGGTCCAGATAGCATCAGAACCATCGGCGCCATCAGCACCATCAGCGCCACCGGCACCATCGGCACCATCGATACCACCGGCACCATCGGCGCCACTGGCGAAATCTCAGCAGACTCGTTAGAAGAACCTTCTACGGACTCTTACTATAACGAGGAAATTGGAGAATCCATGGCCGGAAGTGCAGCGCCGTTGGATGCGTCGCTGGAAGAATCTGTGGACGGCGCAGATCTGGTTGATGAGAGTTTGAAAGTAGGCGCTGTTAAGGGGGATAAGGCTGATGGTGGTCAAGCCGAAGGTGACTTTATCGAGGGTGTCGAGGCTGACGCTCGCGAGTCTGGAGTCGTTGTGATTAAGCCGGGGGCGAATTTGTTTGCGGATGCTGCTGATGCGGCTGGCGCTTCTGGTGCTACTGATGGGACTGAAGAGGAAGAGGAGGAAGCGGAGGAGGAGAAGGCGGTCCTTGTGAATGAACCCGAGAGTGAGCCCGAGAGTGAATCCAAGAATGAACCCGAACAGGCGGACGGAGAGAGCAAGGGGGGTGCTGAGGTGGGTCGAGACGAGATTCAGGGCGAGGTTGAGCAGGCCGAGACGCACGAGGCCGAACCTGTAGAGGGGAAAGGAGAGGAGAGGGACGAGGCTGTAGCGGTGCTGGAGGAGAGCAAGGGCGAGGAGGTCAGGCAGGAGAAAGTCGCCACGGAAGGAGAGGAAGAAAAGGAGGGAACGCAAGAGAAGCAAGAGGATCTGCGCGAAGAGGAGCAAGAGGAGAAGAAGGAGGAGCGAAAGGAGCAGGAAGAGGAGGAGGAAGAGTGCGAGCATGTGGAGGTACCGGAAAGCCTCGTGAACAGCTGGAGCCGGTCCTTCGTGGAGGTCGAAGTCTCCACAATCGCCCACCACGTGGCCTCCACCAGAGACGCCAAATCCCGCCTCGACGCCCAGCTAGCATCCGTACAGACACTCCTCTCGCAGGTCGAGCAGGCCGAGCAGCAGGCAGCCGCAGCTGAAACCGCTCTGTCCCACGCTGGCGAGGCTGACGTTGCCGAAGCTGAGAAGTTGCTTCAGCACGTGGTTCGGTCGCAGCAGGCGCTGGAGATTCGCGCGGCGCAGGTGTTTGGGCACCGGGCGCAGCTGCAGGAGGATTCTAAGGGTCTTAAAGCCCGGATCGAGGCGATTCAGGGTCAATTCGCAGAGGTGGAGAAGCAAGTGGAGGAGTTGAGAGTGGTGCTGGAGGGTAGGTTGGAGCGAGCCAGGGAGAGGATAGGCGAGTTGGAGAAGAGGAGGAAGGAGAGGGAGGAGGCGGGGAGAAGGAAACTGGAGGGGGCGGAAAGGGAGATGGGGCGGGTGCTGGGGGAGGTGCCGGGGCTGGAGAGGCAGGAGCGGGCGTGTGCTGAGCTGGCGGATGCGCTGGTGGCACGTCACCACGAGGCTGACGCGTTGGAGGGACAGCTGGCGGTGCTGCGAGAGGATCTGGCGGCGCTGGTGCGCGGCGTGGGGCGGCTTCCTGGGCTGCCGGGACAGGCAGCAGAGGACCTGGGGTACTCGTTTCTAACGGAAGCTGGAAAGGATGATGTTGAAGGTGAGTGGAGTGGTGGGGTTGTGATGTTTGTAGTGTGAGGTGAGGGGCGTGGGGCGGCTGCCGGGGCTGCCGGGACAGGCAGCAGAGGATCTGGGGTATTCGTTCCTTACTGAAGGAGGAGAGGAAGATGGTAAGGAGGATGTTGAAGGTGAGTGAGTGGATGGGGCTTTGCAATGTGTGTAGTGTGTTGGTGAGGGGCGTGGCCCGGCTGCCTGGACAGGCAGCGGAGTATTACCTGGGGTATTCATTCTTGAGAGAAGAAGGGCCGACAGTGAAGGTGCATTAGGGTGGTTGGGTGCTCCGTGAGGATCTTGAGGCACTCTCGAGGGGTGTGGGGCGGCTGCCTGGGAACGCGGAGATGATTGTATTTTTTGTTTCTGTGTGTGGTTTGGGCTGCACACATGCAGCGGTTCAATCCGTTTGTTCATGTATTTTTGCGCTTCTCTCTCTGCTCTTTCTCCCTCTTCTTTTCCACCCTGATTTATCCTCTCTTTTAAATCAGGCCGGATGCAGGAGTCTTTTCATTCCCTGCACGAGGATCTGGCGCTCGCCTCGTCAGCAGCATCAACCACTGATGCCATTCTGCCTGCCGCCGTACCGGCCGCTGCCGTCGCTGGTCTCACAGCTGAAGACGAGAACAACCCTGTTTTAGGAGCATTCGGGTTGACCAATGCCTCTAACCCGGTTTCTGTGGGTGACATGAAGACAGCTGCTTCTGCGGCGGCAGCATCTACTGCTGGTGTTCCTGACGCCGATGCAACTGGCGTTGGCGCTGCTGGTGCTGCTGCTCTGTATTCTGAGTTCTGCAGTGCCCGAAACCTTGGTACATCCACTGCTGGCGCTGCCGCTGCCGCTGCCGTTGCTGCAGGTGACTCTTCATTCATCGACACCATTGCTGCTGCTCCGGCTGCTGCTGTTGAGACGAGCTCCACCCTCCCCACGCCCTCTCCCTTTGAAGACGAGGAGCAATTTGAGGCGAAGATGCGAGAAATGTCTAGCATGCTCAAGGAAACGCTTCCCTTGGCCTGCTCCCGGTTCCACCAGCAGCAGCAGCAGCAGCAGCAGCCCCAGCTGCAGCTACAACAGCAGCAGGTAGGTTTGGAAAGCGCATTGGCTGAGAGCAACACTGGAGTGGAAGGTGTGACGATGATTGAAGACGGCGACTGGAGCGTGCTGGAGGCTTCTGATGTGTTCACGGCGTCAGGCCTGGGTGGGGCGTCAGGATTTAGTGCGGCTGGTAATGGGGTTGGTGATGCGGTTGGTGGGGCGTTGGAAGGGGCGGATGATGAGGCTCGGTGGTCGGGGCACAGCTTGTTCAGTGTGCATGCTGGCAGCAGTCCCCGGGCCAGGGAGGGTGGGGTTGTGAGGGGTGAGAGCGGCGAGATCAGTGAGGTGATGGAACGATATTTTGGCAGCAGTGAGTAAAGAGGGATGGAGGGAGAGGGAGGGAAGGAGGGAGGAGGCACGGTGGTCGGGGCACAGCTCGTTCAGTGTGCATGCTGGCAGCAGTCCCCGGGCGAGGGAGGGTGGGGTTGTGAGAGGTGAGAGCAGCGAGATCAGTGAGGTGATGGAACGGTATTTTGGCAGCAGTGAGTTGAGAGGGATGGGGGGAGAGGGAGGGAAGAAGGGGGGAGCTGCCGCAGAAGCAGCGGCACGCGGAGGTGGCAGCAGCAGATGAGGCAGCAGCAGATGAGGGGCGGATGATGAGGCACTAGGCTCGTGATGTTGTGGGTGGGGCGTTGGAACTTGGAAGGGGGTGATGATGAGGCACGGTAGTCGGAGCACAGCTCGTTCAGTGTGCATGCTGGCAGCTCTCCCCGGGCGAGGGAGGGAGGGGGTGGGAGCGGTGAGTTTAGTGAAGTGATGGAACGATACCTTGGGAGCAGTGAGTAGAGACGGATGGAGGGAGGGAGGAGCAGCAGCAGCTGCAGTAGCAGCAGCATACAGAGGAGTGGCGGGAGGAGTAGTGCGTGGTTGCATACAGGAAAGGTCTGCAGTGAGCACGGCTGTCAGGGGGGCGAGTTTGGCAGTGCTGATAACTAGGAATTTGTTAACGCCTTGCTGTGCATATGGGTGTGTACATAGACATCTGGTATTCTGTCAAGATGAATGCAGGAGTGAATTAGTGGTGTAAAAGTTTTGGATTTGATATTTCTTCAGCTTCATTGACATTACAGCATTTGTTTTCAAGGCGATGCCATAATCATTGCATAGCACACCCTAGAATCTACTGATAAAATGTGACTGCTGGTTGAAAATATAGGTAAACAAACGTTGGTGGAATTAGGTATTATTCGATAATCTAAAAAATATGCAATAAAAACCCATGAGTATTTGCTTCGTCCGGTTACTTGTAGAGACCATTTTGGGATAATCTAAACAAGATTCGACGTTTACGTCGGAAGGGTTGCGTAGAGTTGTATTCGGTTTGTAAGAAGCATTATGATGGAGTATATTATGCTTATAGAAGCAATTCACCAAGTTCTTCCTATTTTCTTAGATCGGGACAAGCTCGATAGTTCCTTGTTATATATATATATATATATATATATATATTAGATGTTTCTTTCCTCAAAATTGTTTGATTGTTAATTAATATGGTACAACGTTTTGTGATTGAAATAAAAATGAAATGTTCTCACCTACAGCATATTCTATTGTTCTATCATGTTACTATAGCGGGTTTCATGTTTGCAACCACTGTTCCGTATCTGATGTGTCAGCGCGTATGTGTTTTCACGTGACACTAGCTTCCAAGTCTAGTGTTTTAGTCTAGAAATTTTCTGTCCCTTTCACAGCTGTCAAACTCGAGACGCTCTTCATTTCTTGGTTCTTGATATTGGTTCCTCTCGACAAGTACCTGCTTTGCTCTCACTCCTTTTCCTCCCCAAACCAATTTCTTCTCTAGCTATTCTTCCTTACACCCCGCCGTCGCCAGTACCTCCCACCCAGCCGTCGCTCTCCCTCCCATCCCCCGTATCCTCTCCCTCACTCCCCGCAGTCACCTCTCCCTCCCACTCCGCCATCGCTACTTCCTCCCACCTCACAATCACTCCGTCCCACCCCGCCATCTCCTCTCCCTTTCCTCCCCGCCGTCGCCTCTCCCTCTCCTCCCCGCCGTCGCCTCTCCCTCCTCCCCACAGTCGCCTCTCCCTTACCTCCCCGCCGTCGCCTCTCCCTCCTCCCCGCCGCCGCGTCTCCCTCCTCCCCGCCGCTGCCTCTCCCTCCTCCCCGCCGTCGCCTCTCCCTCCTCCCCGCCGTCGCCTTTCCCTCCTCCCCGCCGTCGCCCTCCCTCCTCCCCGCCGTCGCTCTCCTCCCCGCCGTCGCCTCTCCCTCCTCCCCGCCGTCGCCTCTCCCTCCTCCCCGCCGTCGCCTCTCCCTCCTCCCCGCCGTCGCTCTCCTCCCCGCCGTCGCCTCTCCCTCCTCCCCGCCGTCGCCTCTCCCTCCTCCCCGCCGTCGCCCTCCCTCCTCCCCGCCGTCGCCTCTCCCTCCTCCCCGCCGTCGCCTCTCCCTCCTCCCCGCCGTCGCCTCTCCCTCCTCCCCGCCGTCGCTCTCCTCCCCGCCGTCGCCTCTCCCTCCTCCCCGCCGTCGCCTCTCCCTCCTCCCCGCCGTCGCCCTCCCTCCTCCCCGCCGTCGCTCTCCTCCCCGCCGTCGCCTCTCCCTCCTCCCCGCCGTCGCCTCTCCCTCCTCCCCGCCGTCGCCTCTCCCTCCTCCCCGCCGTCGCCCTCCCTCCTTCCCGCCGTCGCCCTCCCTCCTCCCCGCCGTCGCTCTCCCTCCTCCACGCTGCCCGGAGCGCAAGCGCGGGTTGGTGCGCAATCGCGGGTTGGTGTGCTATCGCGGGTTGGTGCGCGAGCGGGGATTGTTTTCTGAGGCACCGTGTTATCAGGTGCGTTCCCGGTCCTTTCATCCTCCCTCCCCCCTCTGAAATTTCCTTTTTTTCTTTTGCTCTATTCGTAAATACTGTGTGTCAATTGGTTGGTCTCCTCTTGCATTGCACTTTCATTTGAAGAAGGGGAGAGACGGAGCGCGAGGGAGGGCGTGTGCACGCGAGCGAACGCGCAGGAGAGAACGCGTGAGAGAGCGCTCGAGAGAGCGCGTGAGAGAGCGCGTGAGAGAGCGCGTGAGAGAGCGCGTGAGAGTGCGCGTGAGAGTGCGCGTGAGAGTGCGCGTGAGAGAGAGCGTGAGAGAGCGCGTAAGGGAGCGCGTGAGAGAGTGCGTGATAGAGCGCGTAAGAGAGCGCGTGAGAGAGCGCGTGAGAGAGCGCGTAAGAGAGCGCGTGAGAGTGCGCGTGAGAGAGCGCGTGAGAGTGTGCGTGAGAGTGCGCGTGAGAGAGCGCGCGAGAGAGTGCGCGAGAGAGTGCGCGAGAGAGAGCGTGAGAGAGCGCGTGAGAGAGCACGTGAGAGAGCGCATGAGGGTGCGCATGAGAGCGCGTGAGGGAGCGCGTGACGGTGTGCATGAGAGAGCGCGTGAGAGAGCGCGTGAGGGAGCGCGTGAGTGTGCGCATGAGAGAACGCGTGAGAGAGCGCGTGAGAGCGCATGAGAGAGCACGTGAGGGAGCGCGTGAGAGAGCGCATGAGAGAGAGTGTGAGAGAGCGCGCGTGAGGTTGCGTATGAGAGAGTGCGTGAGACAGCTTGAGAGAGTGCGTGTGAGAGAGCGTGTGAGAGAGCGCGTAATAGAGCGCGTGAGAGAGCGCGTGAGAGAGTGCGTGAGAGAGCGCGTGAGAGAGCGCGTGAGGGAGCGCGTGAGAGAGCGCGTGAGAGAGCGCGTGAGAGAGCGCGTGAGAGAGCGCGTGAGAGAGCGCGTGAGTGTGCACATGAGAGAGCGCGTGAGAGAGCGCATGAGAGCGCGTGAGAGAGCGCGTGAGAGAGCGCGTGAGAGAGCTCGTGAGAGAGAGCACGTGAAAGCGCGTGAGAGAGTGCGTGAGAGAGCTCGTGAGAGAGAGAGGGCGCGTGAGAGTGCTCGGGAGAGTACGTTTGAGAGTTTGCGTGAGAGTGCGCGTGAGAGAGCGCGTGAGAGTGCGCGTGAGAGTGCGCGTGAGAGAGCGCGCGAAAGAGTGCGTGAAAGAGTGCGCGAGAGAGAGCGTGAGAGAGCGCGAGAGAGCGCGTGAGAGAGCGCGTGAGAGTGCGCGTGGGAGTGCGCGTGAGAGTGCGCGTGAGAGTGCGTGTGAGAGTGCGCGTGAGAGTGCGCATGAGAGTGCGCACGAGAGAGCGCGTGAGAAAGCGCGTGAGAGAGAGCGTGAGAGAGCGCGTGAGAGAGAGCACGTGAGAGAGCGCGTGAGAGAGCGCGTGAGAGTGAGAATGTGCGTGAGTGCATGAGAGAGAGCGCGAGAGAGAGCGCGTGAGAGAGCGCGTGAGAGTGCGCGTGAGAGAGCGTGTGAGAGTGCCCGTGAGAGTGCGCGTGAGAGAGCGCGTGAGGGAGCGCGTGAGAGAGTGCGTGAGAGCGTGTGAGAGCGCGCGTGAGAGAGCACGTGAGAGTGCGCGTGAGAGTGCGCGTGAGAGTGCGCGTGTGAGTGCGCGTGAGAGTGTGCGTGAGAGTGCTCGTGAGAGTGCTCATGAGAGTGCGCGTGAGAGTGCGCGCGAGCGACTTGAGAGACTCGTGAGAGAGCGCGTGAGAGAGCGCGTGAGAGAGCGCGTGAGAGGGTGCGTGAGAGCGCGTGAGAGCGTGCGTGAGAGTGCACGTGAGAGTGCGTGTGAGAGTGCGCGTGAGAGTGCGTGTGAGAGAGCGCGTGAGAGTGCACGTGAGTGTGCGCGAGAGTGCACGTGAGAGTGCGTGTGAGAGTGCGCACGAGATAGTGCGCGAGAGAGTGCGCGAGAGAGAGCGTGAGAGAGTGCGCGAGAGAGAGCGTGAGAGAGCGCGTGAGAGAGCGCGTGAGAGAGCGCATGAGAGTGCGCATGAGAGCGCGTGAGTGAGCGCGTGAGGGTGTGCATGAGAGAGCGTGTGAGAGAGCGCGTGAGAGAGCGCGTGAGTGTGCGCATGAGAGAGCGCGTGAGAGAGCGCGTGAGAGCGCGTGAGAGAGCGCGTGAGGGAGCGCGTGAGAGAGCGCATGAGAGAGAGTGTGAGAGAGCGCGCGTGAGGTTGCGTATGAGAGAGTGCGTGAGAGAGCGCGAGAGAGAGCGCGAGAGAGAGCACGTGAGAGAGCGCGTGAGAGTGCGCGTGAGAGAGCGCGTGAGAGAGCGCGTGAGAGAGCGCGTGAGAGAGCGCGTGAGAGAGCGCGTGAGAGAGCGCATGAGAGTGCGCATGAGAGCGCGTGAGTGAGCGCGTGAGGGTGTGCATGAGAGAGCGCGTGAAAGAGCGCGTGAGAGAGCGCGTGAGTGTGCGCATGAGAGAGCGCGTGAGAGAGCGCGTGAGAGCGCGTGAGAGAGCGCGTGAGGGAGCGCGTGAGAGAGCGCATGAGAGAGAGTGTGAGAGAGCGCGCGTGAGGTTGCGTATGAGAGAGTGCGTGAGAGAGCGTGAGAGAGAGCGCGAGAGAGAGCACGTGAGAGAGCGTGTGAGAGTGCGCGTGAGAGAGCGCGTGAGAGAGCGCGCGAGAGAGCGCGTGAGAGAGAGCGTGAGTGTGCGCATGAGAGAGCGCGTGAGAGAGCGCGTGAGAGCGCATGAGAGAGCGCGTGAGGGAGCGCGTGAGAGAGTGCATGAGAGAGAGTGTGCGAGAGCGCGCGTGAGGTTGCTTATGAGAGAGTGCGTGAGAGAGCGTGAGAGTACGCGTGAGAGTGCGCGTGAGAGAGCGCGTGAGAGAGCGCGTGAGAGAGAGAATGCGCGTGAGAGTGCGCGAGAGAGAGCGCGTGAGAGTGTGCCTAAGAGTGCGCATGAGAGAGCGCGTGAGAGTGCGCGTGAGAGTGCGCGTGAGAGAGCGCGTGAGAGAGTGCGTGAGAGAGGGCGTGAGAGAGTGCGCGAGAGAGTGCGTGTGAGAGCGTGTGAGAGAGCGCGTGAGGGTGCGTATGAGAGAGCGCGTATGAGAGAGCGCGTGAGAGATCGTGAGTGTGCGCGTGAGAGTGCGTGTGAGAGAGCGCGTGAGAGAGCTCGTGAGAGAGAGAGTGCGCGAGAGAGTGTGCGTGAGAGTGCGCGTGAGAGTGTGCTTGAGAGTACGCATGAGAGTGCGCGCGAGCGACTTGAGAGACTCGTGAGAGAGCGTTTGAGAGAGCGCGTGAGAGTGAGCGTGAGATTGTGCGTGAGTGTGCGCGTTTAGGTGCCTCTGAAGTAGCGCGTGAGGGAGCGCGTGAGGGAGCGCGTGAGGGAGCACGTGAGAGAGCGCGTGAGGGAGCGCGTGAGAGAGCGCGTGAGAGAGCGCGTGAGAGAGCGCGTGAGAGCGCGTGAGAGAGCGCATGAGCATGCTGGGGCGTAGGCACTAGCATATTTTCTGCTGGTGCTTGGGCAACTGGGGCTACTTATACAAATGAGTGTCGCTTTCTGCACTAGAGTGCCGGATTTGAAGTTGTTGGCGCCTCAGACGCTCATTTAGGCTGCTGGCAACTAGCCGGCTAGTGCCTAGCACGCTCGTGCAGCGGGCTGTAACGCTTGGGCGCTGGCATGGCACCTAGTGTGCCACGCCTGAAGCGCTAGCGTCATGGCCTTTGGCCTTATTGCTTTCATGTATCAGCGTGTGAACATACACTGTTTTTTGTGCAAGGTGTGCTGTTGCTTTCTCTGTTCTTGCTTTCTTGTGCAGGGCGTGTGTGTGTTGACTTCTCGGTTTTATTTTTGTGCAGGGCATGGGGGTGTTGACTTCTCTGTTTTTGCTTTGTGCAGGGCGTGTGTGTGTTGACGTCTCTGTTTTTGCTTTGTGCAGGGCTCGTGTGTGTTGACTTCTCTGTTTTTGCTTTGTGCAGGGCGTGTATGTGTTGACTTCTCTGATTTTGCTTTGTGCAGGGCGCGTGAGCTAAGAAGGGAGATGAGGGAAGGAGGGAGGGAGGGTTGTAGAGAGGGAAGGTGGAATAGGCTAGCAAATATTTATGCATTTCTGAATTTTATTCATGACGGTTGCGTGTTTATTTCGGTCTCTGTATCTATCTGTGGTTGTTTGCGTGTGTGTCAGTGTGTTCGTGTGCTTATGCGTGTGTGTACGTGCGCGTGTGAGCCCGTGTGTGCGATATGTGCGTTTGTCTGCTTGCACTTGTCTGTTTCATGTATGCATTTGATGTGTGATGTTAAAGTGTGCCGGGTCTGCATTTGAGGTGGGGATCGTTGTTGGGGCAGCATTGCTTGCCTTAGCATACCGGAACCACCACTGTTGTAGCACCGATGCATTTTAGCATTCACTCGCACTTGTTATGTGTTGTTTTTGCACGTGTTGTGCAACTGAGGTGTGATGTTTAAGTGTATCGGGTCTGCATTTGAGGTGGGGATCGTTGTTGGGGCAGCGTTGCTTGCCTTAGCATACCGGAACCATCTCTGTTGTAGCACCAATGCATTTTAGCATTAACTTGCAGTTGTTATGTGTTGTTTTTGCTCGTATGCACATGATTTGCATTCATGACTTGTGGGGTTTTTTCTGTTCAATTGTGTTTGGTGACGACCCATTGTTCCATTCGCCGTATTCATCGACGATTATGGAATGATAGGTCACATTTGGTTTCACCTTTTTGGAGACGCATTCTTAGAGTATAGGCATGAATTGGGTTTGACTATCGAGAGAGTTTGTACAAAGGAGAAACCTAAGGGGTTGTACCCCACAGTGAGTACCCCATTAAGCCTACCCAAGCTATAACAGATATATATATGTTTGACACACCCCCATAGGCAAAGTGGGGGAGAACAGAGGGTCACAAGACCAGTCAGGAAATGCAAAGCAAGCTCAGGGTGGATCACAACGTCACCACGCAGTCTGAGCACAAGCAAAAAGCCACAAGGCCAGTTCACATGCAGAGATATATACGTAACAACAACAGCACAGTGATCTCTACCTACCAGAGCAAGCATGCAGGTATATATATAGATCACAGTACCAGGAGGGAACGACCCAGTGAAGCCAGGTGGGCGGCGCAGCCAGATCTCCTCGTGCAGGCTGCCCTGTACGAAAACTGTGCTAAAGTCAAGAGAGTGAAGCACGTAGTCACGCTGGGCGGCAACGTGCAGCAGCACCCGAAGAGTGGTCATCTTCGGGGTGGGGGAGAAGGTCTGGAAGAAGTCTACTCCCTCTCGCTGACTGAAACCTCGAGCAACGTAACGAGCCTTGAAGACAGGCGGAGAACCTGGCGGCCGCTTCACCCTGAAAATCCACATGCCACTGACGATGTTCGCCCCAGGAGGGGGAACCTCGTCGACGTAGGTGCCTGTGGACTTCCAAGAAGCCATCTCTGCATCCATGGCTGTCTGCCACTGAGAGGAGTACTCACCCGCGATCGCCTCAGCGTAAGAGCGCGGGGTCGGGATGTCTGGTGCATCCGGGTCTCCCTCAGGGGCAAGCAGCATGGACACGAGATGAGGCGCAGCGGCTGCAAAACACTCAAGGTCCTCGTGCCTGTCCTCAAGGACGTCCGTGCCAAGAGCACACTCACCCCCGACGGACGGAGGACAGACAGACTCAGACTCAGCAACAAGACTAGCGGCGTAGTCTAGATGCCAGGCAGCAGCAAAGTCAACAAGCTCAGCGACTAAGGCAGACGCAGCAGCAGACTCAAACGACGGGTCAGTGACAACAGTGGCTAGCAGACGCGTGACAGTAGGGTGCTCAGCACGAAACCGGTCAGACTCAGGGTCCGGAACAACAGGCAGAGAAGACTCTGGAGGGGACGGCAGAGGAACACGCAGCGGAGGAGAGGAAGGACGACGGACTACAAGGGAAGGGCCGGGGACAGCCGGCGGACGCTGACGAGGAACACGACGACTGGAACGACCAGAACGGACAGGTGAGACAGGACGCGACGCAGGTTCACGACGCTCAGTAAAGCCCCCTGTCTGCTCAGCGTAAGGAGAAGGAGCAGGCAGAGGTGAGCCAGGCTGTAACGGAAGACCAGTAGACGACGGGAGGCTAAGAACCTGGCGAAGTACGGAGTCAGGCGGTGGCAAAGATGACGGAGACGGTGGAGCAAAGAACAGGCGCGGCTGTGCAGTGCCACCAGCACCAGCAGCTCCAGCACCCTCAGCAGCTCCAGCACCCGCAGCAGCTCCAGCGCCTCCAGCAGCTCCAGTACCCTCAGCAGCTCCAGCACCTCCTACAGCTCCAGTACCCTCAGCAGCTCCAGTACCTCCAGCAGCTCCAGCACCCTCAGCAGCTCCAGCACCCTCAGCAGCTCCAGCACCTCCAGCAGCTCCAGTACCCTCAGCAGCACCCCCAGAACCGGCACCTCCAGTCCCAGGGTCTCCAGCCTCCGTGTCTCCAGCAACAGCACCCCCAGACCTAGGGTCTCCAGCAGTAGCACCCTCAGGCTCAGCAGTACCTCCAGCCCCAGCAGCTCCAGCACCTCCAGTGCGAGCACCTCCGGGACCAGCACCACTCCCAGCTCCAGTGGTGTCAGCAGAAGTACCTCCAGCGGTAGAGCCCCGAGCTCCAGAAGCACGACCCTGACGGCGACCGTACCAGTCGTGCAGCTGCTGTGAGGTGAGAGGCACACGCGTACGAAGGCGGCTACTCCAAGGAGACCGCGCAGGAGCAGACTCAGAACCCTCAGGCGTCGCACCCCCAGACTCAGCACCCCCAGGCTCAGGACCTCCAGGCTCCTCACGCTCAGGCTCAGCACCCCGAGACTCCGCACCCCCCGGCTCAGCACCCTCAAGCTCCGCACCCCCAGGCTCAGCACCCCCAAGCTCCGCACCCCCAGGCTCAGCACCCCCAAGCTCCGCACCCCCAGGCTCAGCATCCCCAAAGACAGCACCACCCCCAGTAGGACCTGAGTCACCAGTGACCTCAACAGGCGCAGGCACGGGAGGGTCTACCTGAGAAACACCTGAAGGAGCAGGATCTGGCGCGGGGAGGGGGTCTACCTGGGGAGGACCTGGGGCGAGAAAGAGCGGCGGGGGGGGGCGAGGGGCAGTGCGGTAGGGAAAGAGACGGTAAAAGGGGACGGACTCGTCAAAGGTGACGTCCTGAGACGGAAACACACGGCGCGAGGCTGGGTCGTAAAACTGCCAGCCAGGCACGTCAGGGACAAAGCCAAGGAAGACGCAGGGAATGGCGCGAGCGGAGAGTTTGTCCGCGGTGGTATCGCGGACAAAGGCACGAGCACCCCAGACCCGGAAACGCGACGCATCGCCAACCTTCCCCGTCCACAGCAGTGTGGGCGAGGTCTCCGGCAAGGAGACACGGGGCCAGAGGTTGAGCTGATGCGCGGCGTACCGGACCGCAAACGGCCACAGAAAATGGGGGGCAGCCGCATGGATCATGGAGGTACGAGCGACCTCCATGACTAAGCCAATGCGGCGCTCAGCAACCCCATTCTTCTGCGGAGAGGCCGGAAGCGTGAACGTCTGGCGGATGCCGTGCTCCGCACAGAAGGCTGCCAAGAGGTCTGAGGAGAACTCACCACCTCTGTCAGAGTGCAGACGCAGAACCGGAAAGTCCGACTGGAACCGCTCGCGGAGCTGGAGACGAACAGCGCGGATCCAGGGGATCAAAACATCAGGGACCTCCCCCTTGCTGCGCAAGGGGAAGACCGTGGTGTAACGCGTGTAGTCGTCGACGACCAGCAGGAAGTACCGCTCGTGGCCCTGTCCACGGACGCGGGCTGGGCCCCACACGTCCATGTGGAGGGTCTGCAGGGGAGCCTCTGTGGGTGGAAACGAGGAGGAGTGAGGAGCGGCGCGCTGCCGCCCCTCGACGCAAGGAATGCAGGGCGGTGTAGGTGAGGGAGGGAGGGCAGGCAGAGACTCAGGAAGGCCAGAGACCACGTAGCGAGAGTGCATGCTACGAAGGCGAGGCAGGGAGGGGTGACCAAGGCGGTGGTGCCACAGAAGAGTGTCGTGCGACAGGCGCCGACACTCACACTGGGTAGCTACCTGAGCAGACGCGTACAGCTGGGGGGACAAAGGGGTGTAGCGTGACGCAGTGGTGAAGGTGTACAGACTAGACCCAGGCGCACGTGTGAACATGGCCAGGTGACGGCCGGTCCGGGAGCACGTGCAGATCGCCACACGCTGTCCTCCAGGAGTAAAGGTGTCAACCCAGTGATCCTGAAGGACGGCGTTGCTCACCAAGTTCGTAGAGAACGAGGGGAGGTGGAGACCAGACAGCTCACCAGACGGGACCGCCGGACACGGAAGCACAGTGGAAGACCGTGCAAGCACTGGGCCCCCAGAGGGGTCAGCCAGCGAGACAGGAACAAGTGCAGGGAGGGGAGTGACTGTGGTGCTGTCGCGAAAGAAACAGCGGGAAGCACCAGAGTCAAGTGTGAAGGT